CACGGCCTTTCCATGTGGCTGCTTGGCCTCCTCACGACATGGTGTCTGGGTTCCAATGGTGAGCATCCCAAGAGAGGGCAGAGAGGAAACCGGATCAGCTATTCTAACCTACACTCAGAGGCCACACAGCACCACCTTCACTGCACTCCAGTCACTGAGATAGTCACAGAGGCCTTCTCAGATTCAGGGAGACAGAAAATAGACTCCATCTCTTGATGGGCAAGTGGCAAGGTTCTGAAATAGTCTGTGAAACCAGCAATGCTATTATGGCTGTGTTTGGAAAATACAATCTTCCATGTGTAGACACAACTATCTTAATTAATGAAACTTACAGTGGAAATGTTCAGCATTAGATAGCAAAACATACTATATAATTACATTAATTAAAACAGCGTATTACATGGGGCACCTGGCTGGCTCAGTCGGTTGAGTGTCTGACTATTGATCTCAGCTCAGGTCTTAATCTCAGGGTTGTGAGCTCAAGCCCCACGTTGGGCTCCATGCTGGGTGTGAAGCCTGCTTAAAAACAAACAAACAAAAAAATCCAGTGTGTTATGGGTGGAGGAAGAGACAGAATCGATAGAAGAGAAGCAGGCCCAGAAACAGACCCAACTATAAAAGGGAATTTAGTGGGCACCTGGGTGGCGTCCGACTCTTGATTTTAGCTCAGGTCATGATCCCAGGGTTGTGGGATTGGGGTCTGCATTGGGCTCAACACCGAGCATGGAGCCTGCTTGAAATTCTCTCTCTCTCTCTCTCTCTCTCCCTCTGCCCCTCTCCCCTGCTCATTTCTCTCTCTCTCTCAAAAATAAAAGTAAATAAATAAATAAAATAATAATAAACTTAAAAAAAAAAGGGAACAGCGTGTGATAAATGAATGAAAGGAAACAGCTAGAATAGGAAGGAATTGAGGGGCGCCTGGCTTGGTCAGTTGGTGGAGCATGTAATTCTTGGTCTCCGGGTTGCGAGCCCAAGCCCCGCATTGGGTGTACAGATTATGTAAAAAAATTAAATATTAAAAAAAAAGAAGGAAATGATAAATATTTTGAACAGACTGGCCATCCATTAGGAAAACAAACAAATTAAATTAGGTCCTGTGGAAGATATTACTCGACTCTTGAAGAACCATTCCCAAAACTCTCCCCCTGCTCACCAAAGGTAACTTAACATATCTTTAGTTTTATGTTAATAATTTCATTACTTTTACTCTTTACCACATGTGCACTTATCCATAAACAATATACTGTTCAGTTGTGCCTGCCATCAGATATTTGTAAATTGCATCACGCTGTATGTTCTCTTCCACGTTACAATTTGTCCACTGTTTCTAAAGATCCACCCATGTAGATGCATGTAGCTGTCATTCCCACCACCCAATGACATTCTATCATATGAATATACCACGACTGTTGATGGACGTTGGGGTCCCCAGTTTTTGCTACTGCAAACAGTGAAACTTCAAACCTTACTGCCTCTGTCTTTAGGGCATGTTTGTAGGAGTAGAATTGTGGAATCGTAACATATTCCCATATTCGAACTACCGAGTCATTCCAAACTCTTTTGAAACGGTCACTGTGTCCCCCCCAGCAGTGGGTGAGGGCTCCCATTGGCCCACTGCCGTGTGAGCTCCCAGCATTGCCAGACTTTGGAACTGTGGCCAATTTAGTGGGTATGAAATGGTATCTGATCGTAGTTTTCATCTGCATTTTCTTGATTAATATAGAGAGTGAACAACTTCTCATATGTTCTGTGAACCATTTCTGCTTCTTTTCTGATATTCCTGTTGATTTTCTCTGCCCACTTTTTTTATTTGAATGTTTATCTTTTTATTTATAGAGAGCCTTTATAAATTGCATATACTAATCCTTTGTCAGTTATATGTCTTGAAAATATCTTCTCCCAATTTGTGGCTTGATTTTATGTCTTTAAAATTTTTTTTTCTTAAAAAAAATTTAATGTTTTTTATTTATTTGTGAGAGAGAAAGAGACAGCGTGAGCAGGGGAGGGTCAGAGAGAGAGGGGAACACAGAATCCGAAACAGGCTCCAGGCTCTGAGCTAGCTGTCAGCACAGAGCCCGATGCGGGGCTCGAACCCACGAACTGGGAGATCATGACCTGAGCCGGAGTCAGACACTTAACCGACTGAGCCACCCAGGTGCCCCCCCACCAAATTTTTAAAATGTTTCTCTAGTTTATTTCTTTTGAGAGAAAGAGACACAGCGCGGCCTGGGGGAGCGGCAGAGAGAGAGGGAGACACAGAATCAGAAGCAGGCTCCAGGCTCTGAGCTGTCAGCACAGAGCCTGATGTGGGACTCGAACTTCCAAACCGTGAGATCATGACCTAAGCTGAAATCAAGAGCCAGATACTCAACTGACTGAGCCACCCAGGTGCCCCAGTGGCTCGATTTTATATACTTTTCATAGTGGTTTTAAAAATAAAATTTTTAATATTAATGTATCTGAATTTATCAATATTTTCTTTTATGGTTAGCTTTCTAATGTTTAAGGAATTTCACCCCCAATATTAGTAGGCATTGTACAATAGTGTTGAGAGCAAATTCTGAATCCAGATAGCCCAGGTTCAGATCTTGGCTCTCTCACTGTGTAACCCTGGGCAAATTATTAACCTCTCAATGTCTCAGTCTTCTGTAAAATAGGGATAATCACAGTATCTATCTGCTAGAGTTGCTATGAGATAAAGTGGAAACATCTGTGAGGCTCTTAGAGGAATCCTCGGCACATGTTAAGCTCTATATAAATTCTTGCTGTTATTGTAGTGATGCTTATGAGATAATTTTTATTGTTACTTCTCAGGGCAAAGTACATCATACCCCCTTCAGCCCTTAGCACAATGCTTGGCATAAGTGAATAATTGCCTGTTTTCCCCATCTCCAGCCTTTCCCCCTACACAACCTCACCTTCTACAGCGCTGACAAAATTATCTCCTTTATAGAGCTATGATACTTTTTCTCCCTTTCCTGAAGTTTCCATGTATTCCCCACCATCTGCAAATTCCTAAGCTGCCATCATTTACACCAAACTCTTTTTCCAATCAAGTGCCCTATATTTCCCTTCATACCAAACCATGGTGTTTGGGGGTATCTTTTCCATCAGTCTATATCCATATCTGTATGTGAGTATCTACAAATATGCATCTACACGGCCTCGGGCAGTGTTCAAGAAAATGGGCTCTGAAGGCAGACTACCTGCTTTGGATTCTGATTCCAGCACTTACTACACACGTAACTGCAGGCAAGCCCCTTCACTAGTCCAAATCTCAGTTTCTTTGCCTGGAAAACGGAGACAGTAAGTACCTACTTCAAAGAGCTGCCAGGAGCATTAGATGAGGGGTTGAGCCTTTGGTATGGTGTCTAGCACACAGTAAACATCAAACACATTTTTGCTGTTATTAGCAAGCCGTCTTGCCAGTATATCCTTATTCTCCCAAACTCTGCAATCCCCTGAGTTCTCCCAGTACCCACAGAAGCCAATAGTAGATAAATGGAGGCCATAAGGGTCAAAGGTGACAAGATGCGGCATCGTTGCTGTCCTTACAAAAGTTCACTGATGAGGAGACCAGAGACTGTATTAGAAGTCAGGACTGCAAATATAGTTTTAGGTGTAAAGTATCTGTTGTGCAAACCAAAACACATCCATTCAAAAAATCGGTCACCTGCAGTCCCTGACCTTTGAAATTAGCTGCAAAACTCGGTCCCCACGTGCATTTTTCATGGCAAAGTGTCCACGGTTTTCATTCGATCCATGATCTAAACACAGCCCTAACCGGAAGGTTAAGAACCCGTGACCTATTCAGTGCAACGTTCTCTTAAAGAGTTCACGTAGGCATCCAGCACCCCCTGGGGGTGTCAGTCAAAATTCCAGTGATCCCCGAGTGCAGACCTATGGGGATGCAAATACATTAGGAACTCTTTGGAAGGAAAGAAAATACCCAAGGGAAACTAAGAAACGCTTGCATTTTAACTTAATGTGGTGCAGCTGCTGAGATTTTGAGGCCTCCATCAGAGAGGACCGGGAGCCCGTGTTTGCAGATTTGTTGTGGATGCCTGTAGGCTGCGTTGAGGGCGGGAGTCGGAGGGTGGGTGTTCAACTTATTTTGCATCAAAAGAAGGTGGTGTGAGCTTACACCGAACCTCCATCACTGCTACCCATAATTTTCCAGCTATTTTATCATCCATTGATTCTTTCCTTCCAGTTGCTCTGACAACCGAAGGCAAAACCGAAACCCGGAAGGCGAGGCCAAAGGAAAAGAAAGCTCCAAAGGGAGCCAGGCACCCGGCCTTTGGTCCTGCGGTCCCTTTAAGAGAAGAACCTCTTGGGACCGGCAGTCCCAACCGACCCCAGTTTTAACCGAAACCTAACCCGGACTTCCCCCTCTTCACTCAAATAAGACCAACTTTGGATTTTCCCTCCCCTATTGGCCAATCAGAATCTGTTACCAGGCAGACTTGAGCTGCCGCGGGTGCGGGCCCGGCGCCTCTGTCTCCGGGTGGCAGCAATGACCAATGAGAGAACAGGCCGTGCGAGTCTCTAGGCAGATCGGGACTGCTCCAGCCACTCAGAAAAAAGAAAATAAAGCAACGCACGAGCCCGCTGGGCCAGGACCGTGGGGCTGGGCTGGAGTGAAGGTGGCTACGAGGTAGTTTCTCTTTCTCCCTTACCTTTATTGTTGCTTGTGTTGGAGGGCGTCTGTTCACAGGTAGGGAGGGGGGGCAGTATGAGTTGGGAGGAGAGCCGAAGAAGATTCTGGCCGTATTTTCAACAGCTCCTTCACCCATGTGCACGTGCCCCGAATCTGGGACCCCGTTCCCCCAACCGGGTTTCCTACGCCCCAGCCCAGGAGTTCGCCACCCTGAAAGCCTTCCACCCTGCCGCAACGCGGGAGTGAATGCAGGGGGAGGGGAGGGGGGTGGGGGTGCGCCTCAGGATGGGAGGTTGAGGGAGATGACGTAGGGACCGGCGACGTGGGGAGGGGGAGCCGCGGGGGAAGCCGTGGCGAGATTAAGTAATGAGAACTTGGGCCCAGTTTTTTCCAAGCCTGGTAGGACAGAGTGTGTTCGTATCCTTTCTGACCTCCCAAGAAAATTCAGGCGTTGAGGAGAATCGGAGAACTTTGTTGTGTGGTGGTTACTGTTTTGGGTGTTTTAAGGGGATGAGGGCAGTATGGGGTCAAGAGGCAGAAATGGACATTTCTAAGGTGGATTCCCCGCCTGCCTGTCTCTTCCTTTGCAGTTTTCCACGCTTAGGGAACCTCAGGAAGGATGGGGGGCAGGCAGAATGGAGGTGGCAAAGATCTCTTTGGGTCTAGATGGGCCTGGAGAAGTCATGCGATGATTTCTAATTCGTGGAGAAGGCAAGGGGTGAGAAAGAAACCACTGAGGACATTGGGAGGCTTTCTTTGTGTTTCTGTTTCTGGGTAGGGCGATAAGGAGTGCCTTGGGGGCCTCCAGGGGAAGAGGGGTTGGTTGACTCTTCCTGTCGTGTCTCCTCTCAACTCTAGCCCTCATGCGGGGATGGCAGAAGATGAACCGGATGCCAAGAGCCCGAAGACCGGAGGCAGGGCCCCCTCAGGTAGTGCTGAGGCCGGAGAACCCACCACCCTGCTTCAGAGGCTCCGAGGTACCATTTCGTAAGTACTCATCACCCCCTCCAACTCCTGTCCAGAACTGTAGCACTTGACTTCCTCTGTAGATGAACTGCCCCTCCCCGGGCAAGGGCAAGTGCAACCCGGCACTGGGAGACTCTTCAGCATGGCGGCACCGCTGGCCATCTCGGCCCTCGTCCTCTCCCTAACAGTAAGACGCCAGGGGAAACCTTGTGTGTGACCTCCAGCTTTCTCCTCTCCCCCACAGCAAGGCCGTGCAGAACAAAGTCGAGGGAATCCTGGTGAGTGTCTTGGGGAAGAGGGCAATAGACAGCTGGAGTTGGTGCGGGATGAGAATTAGGAGGATGTGCATAAGGGCAAGGTTTGTGTGACAGAGGCAGTGTCTACTTCCCTGTCAGAAGATTAACTGGCTTCGCAACATGCTGCCAGTTTGACCTTGAACCTCTTACCTCACGTCTCTGTGACCTGTTGTGTAGACACTCAGTAGGAATAAAATCAAAGCTGATCCCCTCCATTCCCCCTTGTGGTAGCTCAGTGGTAGCTCACAAGGGCGCTTCTCAGATCCAGGGAGGACCCAGCGCCAGATCATTTCTAAGGTCCTTTTTCACCCTGTCCGTCCCTAAGGCAGCCAAGTTTGGAGGGAAGGATCAGAAGATCCTATCTTGGGTCCTTCTTGGCCTTATTTTTTCCTCCTGCCTCTCTCCCTCCCGACCTCAGCAAGACGTGCAGAAGTTCTCAGACAACGACAAGCTGTATCTCTACCTTCAGCTCCCCTCGGGGCCCAGTACTGGAGACAAAAGGTAGGTTTGGTGCTATAGTGTAAGCTGTCAGAGTTTCTGGTTCTTTTTTTTTTTTAAATGTTAATTTATTCTTGAGAGATAGAGAGAGGCAGAGCACAGCAGGGGAGGGGCAGAGAGAGGGAGACACAGGATCTGAAGCAGGCTCCAGGCTCTGAGCCATCTGCACAGAGTCCGACGCGGGGCTCGAACACACGAACCACGAGATCGTGACCTGGGCCAAAGTCAGACACCCAACCAACTGAGCCACCCAGGCGCCCCTCAGAGGTTCTGGTTCTTACAGGAAGGCTCACTGTGATGGGGTTGGGTGAATAGGGATACTCCTAACAGCTCGATGGAGAAGAGAAGGACATGGATACGGTAGATCATGGGTGAAGTGATCTGGTCCAGCATAGTCTGCTTAGAACCACAGCAACTATGAGGATCTTAGTAAGGCTCGTCCCCTTTACTTCTCTTTGCAGCTCGGAGCCAAGCACGCTCAGCAATGAGGAGTACATGTATGCCTATAGGTGGATCCGCAACCACCTAGAAGAGCATACCGACACCTGTTTGCCAAAGCAGAGTGTTTATGATGCCTATCGGTGGGTGAAGGGGGGTGGGGTCGGGGGTGGAGGTCTGGGGGCTTAGGACTACTCCCTCACCCGGAGAGACCTCCCTGCCTTGAGAAAGCCTGACTGACTTGTTGAAGGGTTTCCCAGACTCGATGCCAGGGACCCACTGAATCTATCCATGACCTCCTTCTCTGTCTTCCCACTTTGCTCCCCGCCCCCCCTCCCCCCCACTTAGGAAGTACTGTGAGAGCCTCGCCTGTTGCCGCCCACTCAGCACAGCCAACTTTGGCAAAATCATCAGAGAGATCTTCCCTGACATCAAGGCCCGAAGGCTTGGTGGCCGGGGCCAGTCCAAGTATCCTTGTGTGGAGAGGTTGGGGCTGGAGGACCTGGGGAGGGAAACTTAGGGTGTGGAGGGCCAGGAGTAGAAGCAGCCCAGCCTTCCCTTGGGGCTTGGAGACCTCACTGTTGGCTGCTCTTTAACTTGCCTCAGATATTGCTATAGTGGCATACGAAGGAAGACCTTGGTATCTATGCCACCCTTACCTGGACTTGACCTGAAGGGCTCTGAGAGTGTAAGTTAACAGCTCTCCGCTCGCACTCTTCTCTCCAGAGTGGAGGGCTGATACAGCCTGGGTCATCCTGCCCTAGCTTCTGGGTGCGTAGGATACACCCTTTCGCCTCCCCATGGCTCAGGCGGAGGATGAAGAGAATTTGTGGGTTTCTGGGATGGGCTCCTCCCATCTGCAGTCTGGTCTTCCTGTGGGTGACACTGGTGTCTGAGAGGGGCCAAGGTGGAGTGTGACTGGGCATGGCCTTCCCCACTGCAGCCAGAAATGGGCCCAGAGGTAACCCCGGCTCCTCGGGATGAACTGGTGGAGGCAGCCTGCGCTCTGACCTGTGACTGGGCAGAACGAATCCTGAAACGGTCCTTCAGCTCCATCGTGGAGGTGGCGCGCTTCCTGCTGCAGCAGCATCTCATCTCTGCCCGGTCTGCACATGCCCACGTGCTCAAGGCCATGGGGCTTGCTGGTGGGTGGACGTCTCTCACTTTCTGCCTCATCGGCCCTCCCACCTACTAGGGTAGAGATGCCTTGCATTCACTTTCTGTTTCTAGTGACCCTTGTAGGACATTAGGACAAGCTTTATACCCTCCTCCTCCTCCTCCACCAGTCAGTCAGTCAGATTTCCTCACTTGCCCATTGCTTCCTTCTCACCCTCGCCTCACTCCCTTTCCCCGCACCTCTGCAGAAGATGATGAACACACCCCGCGGGAGCGGTCCTCAAAATCCAAGAATGGTGTTGAGAGCCTAGAGGGTGGAGCCCATAAGAAACCAGAGAGACCAGCCCAGGTAAGGAAGTTGATGGCCCTGACCTTGCTTCCCTGGGCTGGGGGCTTTTAGTGTCCCTTTCCCTATATTTTCTCACCCTCCTATGCCTGTGTTTACTCCAGTGCCCAGTCTTCCCACTTAACTATGGCCTCTCTTTACCTTTTAGCCTCCTAAGGAGCTGGAACCCCGGGCTGGGGCCGGCACCCCTGCGCGCGGAGAGCGGAAGAAGAGTGTAGTGGAGAGCCCAGCCCCGGCAGCCAGTAACCCACAGGTTAATGCCCTGGTGGCCCGGCTGCCTCCGCTCCTTCCCCGGGTCCCTCGCTCCCTTATGCCACCCATCCGAGTCTCTCCACCCATCCTGGCCCCCAAGCTTTCTTCAGGCCCTCTGAAAGTGGCTCTGCCCAGCAGGGCCGGGGGCCCCCACGCGGCTGTGCCCATCATTAACATGATCTTACCAGCGGTTCCTGCTGTGCCCGGACCCGGACCCGGGCCTGGGCAAGCCCTACCTGGGGTGCTCGCTCAGCCACGAGGCACAGAGAACAGGGAAGTAGGCATAGGTGGTGACCCAGGACCCCATGACAAAGGTGTCAAGAGGACAGCGGAAGTACCTGTGAGTGAGGCCACTGGACAGGATCCACCAGCTAAAGCGGCAAAGCAGGATATAGAGGATACGGGAAGTGATGCCAAAAGAAAACGGGGGCGCCCTCGGAAAAAATCCGGTGGAAGTAGGGAAAGGAACCCTACCCCTGACACGTCAGCAGCTGCCGTGGACTCTCCCCAGCCCTCCAGGTTACCACAGGAGACCTGGGCCTCCGGAGGCGACCGCAACTCCGCCAGAGGGTCAGGGAGGCCAGGGCCAGGGGGAGAGGCTGAGAGGGGGACGCCGCTTGCCCAGAGTCAGGAAGATGGGGCTGCTTCCAGAGGAGGGAGGGGCCCCAGTTCCCGCCATGCCAAAGAAGCAGAAGATAAAATTCCTCTGGTCACCTCAAAAGTGAGTGTCATCAAGGGCAGTAGAAGCCAAAAGGAGGCTCTTCCAAAGGGAGAGGTAGACACCGCAGCACAGGGTAATAAAGACTTAAAAGGGCACATGCTTCAGAATTCCTTATGCCATGAAGGTAAAGGCCCTAGAGCCACACCCCCATGATAGCCGGCGGGGGGGGGGGGTGTAGAGGGTTTATATTCACGTTAACTCTACCTGCCTAGTAGAGGCCCTTCTCTGCACCCGCTTCTTGTTTGGCTCTTTTCCTAAGGCAGTTCATTCTCCTGTGTAGACCGCTTGAGGCACCCTGTCCTCCACGGTGTCTGGCTCTTGCCTCTGACCTTTCCAGCTCAATACCCTTGGCTTTAGAGTCCTTGATAAATCTGTAGTGACTGTCTTTCCTGGATCTCTATGCTATCCTGTGGGAGGCTAGGAATGGAGTAAGTGTGATGAATGTATAGGCTAGGACTCTTGGTTTTAAATCAAAGAAAACCTTACAAACTGGCTTAAAAATTAAGACTTCCTGGCTCATATAACTAAAGTCCAAAGGTAGTACTGGCTCCAGAGAAAGCTGATGCAGTGGCTCAATATGTCTCGAAATACCCGATCTCTTCTCCCCCCTCCCCCCCCCCACTGCTGCCTTCTATAGGCTCATTTAAACCTGGGCCACCTCCCTGCTGCCAGCACTCCTGGGATTACACGTTTTCTCATTTATATCTAACCCAAAGGGAGTTAGAGGGGTACATCTTTGTGCCAGGAATCCTAGCAGAAGCATCAACATTGACTGATTAGGCCATCCTGGGTCACATGGCCACCCCTGCCCAATCACTGTGGCCAGAAGGATGGTATATGCTAATTTGTACCTTCTACATCTGGGAAAGCCTGGGATCAGCCTCCTTAGAATCACAAAGGTCTCCATGCGGCCGGCTGCCTCCATATCTGGGGATGCAGCTGACACCTGGCCACAGCTATGAAGTACAGGTGGCTTTAGCTTGCTAGGTTGAGACCGGCTACACCTGTTTTCCTTTTTCCCTCCCTGTCTTGCATTTTCCTTCCTGCAGCTATAATAACCTCTTTCCTCTCATAGACTCAGAAGGAATGAGAGAGAAGTCCCTCTCCTTTAACGGACTCTCTTTAGTCTCATTTAGATGACACTTCTTACATCTCGGAGATGGGGAGCCTTCCCTTTCCTGTTTCTGAATGTTCGTTTTCTCTGCATTCTGCTTCCCTATCCCGACCTTATGGCCACTTTCACCAGGTGGAGTAATCCGAGCCATTTGATTAAATCCATTCTGTATCCACGAGGTGTCAGTCTCTTGTCGTACACGTGCCAGGACTTAGCCAGGATTGCGGGTTTTGGCTAGGTGCGTGGCAGGAGATAGCTCTGCATATGGGCACCAACAGGAAGTGAGTTGCAGTAAACCAGCTGATCTCTACTGAGGACCTGTTTTGTCTTCTGCGTAGGGTAGCTTCTGTCAGGGAATCCGGTTCTGCCCAGGAAATAAATTTTCTTTCAGGGAGACTTCATTCGTTTCCACCACAGCATATTTTTAAAAATTATAATATGTAATATTTGATATATATAAAGAGTATATTTAACATGAATAAGTTATGAAACGTAATTAAATGAATACCTTTGACCAAATTATACATTAAAACATGAGAAATACCATTGAGTTTCTTGTTCCTACCCTGTCCTACCCCACTGCCTCTCCCGGGACAATAATAACCACTGTCCTTAATTTTGTGTTTATTACCTATATACATACACACACACCCACAAATATATATGTATCTCTACATTTAACCATATATGTATAAAACTCTTTAAAAACGTTGTTTTGCTTTCTTAGCTTTACAGAAAGTTTGTACTCTAATAGTCCCCCGCAGTTTGCTTTTTTTCACTTACCACAGTTTTTAAGATTCGTCTGTGTTGTAATTAGCTATAACTCGTTCATTTTCACCCATATAATAATTCTAGCAAGTACATAAACCACAAGTTACTGATGTACTCACGTATTACTGGCTGGGTTGTTTCCATTCTTTTGCTATCGCTAACAGTGCTGTTATGAACCTTCTTGTACCTGTTAGTGCCTCTTTTTTTTTTTTTTAGCAAGATTTCGAAAAAGGTTTCGAAGATGTTTCATTTGATCTGTGCATCCTCTGAGTTGGGAACTGTTTCCTCTGTCTTACTCTCTGGGAAAGTTGACATCAGATCAGTTAAAAACTCAACTGTTGAACCATCTTAGCCTGGCATTTCTTTTTGGGAAAAATTTTAACCATTGATTCCATTTCTTTAATAATGATAGGCTGTGTGGGCTTTCTATTTTTTCTTGAGTCAATTTAGGTTAAGTGTTTTTCTAGGATTAAGTGAATTTTTTTTTTTTTAACCTCTGAGGTGGTCCTGTACTTTGTTTTCCATTTCTACTATTTACTCTGACCTTTTTTCCTCTTTTTTTTTTTTTAATATTTTATTTATTTCTAGGAGAGAGAGAGAGACAGCGTGAGCAGGGGAGGGTCAGAGAGAGAGGGAGTCACAGACTGAAACAGGCTCCAGGCTCTGAGCTGGCAGTCAGCACAGAGCCCGACGCGGGGCTCGAACCCACGAACTGCGAGATCATGACCTAAGCGAAAGTCGGACGCTTAACCGACTAAGCCACCCAGGCGCCCCATCTGACCTTTTTTCCTCTTGATCAGTTGCACCAGAAATTTGTTATTTTACTTTTTCAGCTGCTATTTTGGATTTTGTTGATCTTCTCCCTTATGTAATGTTCTCCATTTCATTAATTATGGGTATTATCTGTAGGATTTCCTTTCTTCTGCTTTCTTTAGATTTAATTTTATGTTTTTCAAGAACATTTTAATTTTGACACCCTAATTTTCAAGCTGGTCCTTTTTCTACTGTAAGTTTTTAAGGACCTGTTTCCCTACATTCCCCTAATTTTTCTGTTGTAAAGCACTTTAATTATAACTTAGTCCTAAGAATATTTACATGACCTTTATGATTTTTTGATTTAGGAATTATTTGGAAAAATTTTAAGAATTTCCAACTGTCTGGATATTTAAAGTTTTACCTTTTTGATGCCCACTTTCATCTTAATGATTTGTACTCAGAGATGTGCCCGATGATACTAAATCTTTGAAATTCACTGTTATTTTATATATCTGTAACTTTCCTGGATATCTAAATCGGTGTTTGTTGTTTTCTGCTCACTCTTGCTTGTGGTAGCTTGTGTTTTTGTATATTTTCAATTTGTGGGGTTTGAGCTCACTCTTAAAATGTGGGAATCCAGAGATCCTAAATTGGGGGTACATTCCTGCAGAGAAGATTTGCATTTGCTTCCGCCAGGAGCCTAACGATGCTCCTGACCTGGGGCTGTTGGCTGCTTCTAGAGTCTCCGTTGCTTTCAGGAGTCCCAGGTGTTCTCGCCTTCCTTGGCTTGGCCCAGGGTTTAGCCTGTCTTCACAATACTGTTCACTCCCTCATGTAGGTTTCTGCTTAATGTCATTCTTTTTCTTCTTGTAGTGATTTCTCTTACTTTCTAAAGAGCCCAGCAATATGTGAACCATTATCTTTGTTGTAATTTATCCATGATCTACTTGTATTTTAATGGGAGAGCCCTTATCCAGGTGGTCAGAAATAGGCATTACTGTGGTTTTGGCAATTTCCTTTTTGTTTTTTAGGTGACAGGCACTTATTAGAAGCCAGTTGACTTAAGCTGTCTTCAAGTCAATAATGATCATAGCACAGTGGCAATATGACAGTTATGTTAGCAGTAAGCAGAGAGCTGTGCGGGCCCAGAGGAGTAGCATAGAGCTCAGACAGGGACCCTGGATGACTTCCCAGTTGAGGTGAGTACGAGTTCGCTGGACAAGTCTAACTCATAAAACAAGGACAGAACATAAGACATATAGAAAAAAAGGTAAATTATGGTACTCATTCTTTTTTTTTCTTAATTTTTAATGTTCTTTTTTTATTTATTTCTAAGAGAGAGAGAGAGACAGTGTGAGCAGGGGAGGGTCAGAGAGAGAGGTAGACACAGAATCTGAAACAGGCTCCAGGCTCTGAGCTGGCTGTCAGCACAGAGCCCAACACGGGGCTCAAACCCATGAACTGTGAGATCATGACCTGAGCCAAAGTCGGATGCTTAACCGACTGAGCCACCCAGGCACCCCTATGGTACTCATTCTGCATAAAAGGTATACATTCAGACATTACTTGGGCCGGATAATTTTGGCAGGCTTCATGGAAAAGACAGGGTAAGTAGAACTTAGGTGGAAAAGTGGAAGACATTCCAGGGAAAGAGGTTTGGGCATGTGAGATGTGACAAAAGGCCTAGAAGAACCATTCCCCGAAAGAGACCTGTGAGGCAGAAGGGGGGTATATGAACAATAGTGAGAAGTCAACTAGAAGGTCATACAACCATCATAGTTATCTGTTGACTGACTGAATGGATAAAGGTATCAAGTTTGCATTAAAGGATGGAGGAACTGGAAGCAGAAGGAACCAGCCAGCCAGCCGGTTCCATGTGGGAGAAGAGGGACTGGATTGGGCGGCTGGTACATTAGAAGGGACAGACATATGGGAAAATAAACCACTCATCTTAGAATAGGTGAAAGCATCTAAGGAAACATTGTCCTCACCCTGGTTGGTTTTGGGGATATATCCATTCACTCTGGGAGCCCCAGCCCACCTGAGGATTTTGAGATTTACGTGTGCCTTTTTTTTCAAGTTTTTAATTTTTTTTTAGTAAACCCTACACCTAATGTGGGCCTCAAACTCACAACCCCAAGATCAAGAGTCGCATGCTCTTCTAACTAAGCTAGCCAGGCACACGCCACCACTCCCTCCCCAACCCCCAATCCTAGCCATGGGGTTTTTAAGTAGCCTATTTTGTTTGTTTGCTTGTTTTTATGTTGTTATTGTTGTTTTATTTTAAGTAGGCTCCACACTCAACCAACTGAACCACCCAGGCACGTCAGTAGCCTATTTTTAAAACTTACCTATGTAAAAAATTTAACATAAGGGGTGCCTGGCTGGCCCAGTCTGAAGAGTATGCAACTCTTGATCTTGGGGTCGTGAGTTCCAGCCCCTCATTGGGTGTAGAGATCACTTAAATTACTTAAATCAGTAAAACTTTTTAAAAACTGTAACATGGATGGGGCCTGAGTGGCTCAGTTGTTTTAAGTGTCCAACTTCGGCTTAGGTCATGACCTTGCAGTTTGTTGAGTTCAAGCCTCACATTGGGCTCTCTGCTGTCAGCACAGAGCTGGCTTCAGATCTTCTGTACCCTCCCCCTGAATAAATAAATATTTTTAAAAATAATAATAAAAATCTAACATGAGGCACCTTGCTGGCTCAGTCAGTTAAGCATCTATCTAACTCTTGATTTTGGCTCAGGTCATGATCTCACGGTTCGTGGGTTTGAGCCCCACGTTGGGCTCTATACTGTCAGTGCTTGGGATTCTCTGTCTCCCTCTCTCTCTGCCCCCTTCAAAAATAAATCAACATTTAAAAATAAAAATAATCTAACATGAAACAAGTTACTCTCTAGTTTAGGCAGTCTTCAGTTTACTAGATGAAGGGTTTAACTAAGATTTGGGGGACTGCCTACTGCTTCCCCTACCATTTTTACTCTTTCCCCAACACCCTACCCTGTCCTCACATGACCTCACCCCCCAAGTGTTGTGGTTTTTCATTTTAGCCCTATCATAAATGAAGTTAAAGATAATTTATAATTTACTAAAATTTGAAATAATTGTTTACTATTAAACCAAGGTAAGCTCTACATGTCTAGTCAATGGCCCCAAATAAATGAACTTAATTGTTCATTTTTGTGGATAATTAACTTTCTTTAGAAATCAAAGCAAATGCCACATTCACTCACATACTAAACGGGAGGACTAATGTCAGCATATATTTGTCTAAGTATTTCATCTGGTGTTATGATTCCTCAGTAGGCCTATCCCTTCTTTGCCTAGAATTGTCCTGGTAGCTCTAGCCTATGAGATAAAGCTAAGCACAACATATAGGTAATGCATTGTTTAAGAGATGTTCATGGGGTGCCTGGGTGGCCCATCTGGTTAAGTGTCCGACTTCGGCTCAGGTCATGATCTCACATCTCAGGAGTTCGAGCCTTGCATCTGGCTCTGTACTGAGAGCGTGGAGCTTGCTTCGGATTCTGTCTCTCCCTCTCTCTCTGCTCCTCTCCTGCTCGCGCTCTGTCTCTCTCAAAAATAGACATTAAGAGAAAAAAGAGAGAGATGTTCATGAGAAGGTATTTGGTGGAAAGAGCATGAATTCAGTTCCTATCTTACCCCATTCTTGGGTTGTGAGACTGACTTAGCAGGATGCAGGATGCAAAACAGTGTTTTCAAAAGTGAAATAAAATAGAAACTATCAAAAGTACATCACATATAATAAGGGTAAATATGATTTCATGAAACCTTTATTTCAGCGAAGACACATCTATGTGTTTTTCAATGATCATGATGTAAAATGTACTTCTCCGTGCGAGATATGGGGGCAAGTGCAATGTACGGAGCTCCCTCCTTCTCCGCCATCTTGCCCCTTCTCCTGTAAAATGTACTTATTGTGGGTTGAAGGAAAACAACCTTGAAAAAGGACTTAACCGTTCTGAAGCTTAGCTTCCATAAAATGGGATAAAAATCTCTTTCACGGGGTTGTAATGAGGGACAAATGAGGTAATGTTTGTCTTCATACACAGTAGGGGCTAGGGCAACAACTGCTGGCTTCTTTATCTTTTCTCCGAGGGAAAAAAACCCATAATTTCTGTGGTTCAGGGAGGCAAAAGTCATTCTTTATAATTTCTTTAACTACAGTTGGGTTTAAAATATAATAGAAGTTATATTATGAACTGGGTCCTCTAGTTATACCAACTTTTGATAAATAAACCAACTTCTTTTTTTTTTTAATGTTTTATTTATTTTTGAGAGAGATAGAGACAGCATGAGCAATGGAGGGTCAGAGAGGGAGGGAGACACAGAATCCGAAGCAGGCTCCAGGCTCTGAGCTAGCTGTCAGCACAGAGCCCGACGCGGGGCTCGAACCCACGAACCGTGAGATCATGACCTGAGCCGGTCAGACGCTTAACCGACTGAGCCACCCAGGCGCCCCATAAACCAACTTCTTTACCCAATTTGGTTAAATTTAAACAAATAAATGATGTGGGGTACCTGGGTGGCTCAGTTGGTTGAGCATCCAACTCTTAACATTTTTTTCTAACGTTTATTTATTTTTGAGACAGAGAGAGAGACAGAGTGTGAGTGGCCTTGGGGCAAAGAAAGAGGGAGACACAGAATCTGAAGCAGGCTCTAGGCTCTGAGCTGTCAGCACAGAACCCGACACAGGGCTTGAACTCATGAACCGCAAGATCATGACCTGAGCCCAAGTCAGACACCCAACGAACTGAGCCACCCAGGCGCCCCATGCATCTAACTCTTGATTTCAGCTCAGGTCACAATCACAGGGTCATGGGATGGGGCTCCACATTGGGCTATGCAATGAGCATAGAGCCTGCTTGGGATTCTCTCTCTCTCTCCCTCCCTCTCTCTCTCTCTCTCTCTCCCTCTGCCCCTCTCTCCTGCTCACACTCTCTTGCTAAAAAATAAAATAAATGACATTACCTGACTCTGTTGGTACTTTCCTGCTCTCCCCATACTCCAAGGTGCCACACACATATCTACTTTTCCATCAAAACAAGAGGCTTCCGACACACATCGGACAGTACAGGTTCCCATAGGGTCACATCATCCACGTGCAACCATCTATACCTGCAGTGGCTCCCTGGGACCATAGAAAGAGGTAAATGGTACTTTTTCTAGCAAAAGAAAATTTTATTTTATTATTATTTTTTAGAAAACTAGTATTTTCTTTTTTTTTTAATATTTTTATTTATTTCTAGGAGAGAGAGAGAGCATGAGCAGGGAAGGGCCAGAGAGAGACGGAGACACAGACTCTGAAATAGGCTCCAGGCTCTGAGGTGGCAGTCAGCACAGAGCCCGACGCGGGGCTCAAACCCACAAACCGTGAGATCATGACCTAAGCGAAAGTCGGACGCTTAACCGACTAAGCCACCCAGGCGCCCCGCAAAAGAAAATTTTAAAAAACAGGTTCAATGTGCTGAGGAATTTTAGAAAATATATACTTTGAATTTAATATGGGAAACAAAAAGAATAGCATTCAGTTTTATGATTTGACAACTGTAATCAAGTGGAAAAGCAAAAAGGATTGAGAGAAGAAAAAACTAGTCAAAATATCTACTTGTTACCATTTTTAATTTATTCATTTATGAAAAGAAAACAAAAAAAATCAGTAAGACAGTTGGTATTGTTTTACATTTTTGGAAATCCCTTTAATGCCTAACTGGATTCTCATATCTGCTTCTGCATTCCATCTGTTGTTATATCAACAAATATAATTACCCTCCCCACCCCCACTGTGGTAGAAACTAAGGATAGCACTAGAATACAAAGGTGAATCCTTTCCTGCTTTGAGTTCAGACTAGAGAGGTTTGGAGACTTGTAGAAACAACAGAGTAACAAAAAGAAAAAAAAAAGCACTCCAGAGAAAATCAGAAAGACCAAATCAGAGGTGCAAAGTTCACACATGAGCCCTTAGAGCCATAAACAGAAAACTCAACACACTTCTGCTTAATACTGTGTTTGTGGGGGAGGAAAAAGGAAGGGGGGGGGGGTCCCTTGGTTAATAAAGGGCTTAATAACTGCTTATAGCAATACAAAGCTCCACTTAAGGTTTGAACAGAGATGTTCCTGAAATCTTGTTTTGTTGTTGCTGTTATTGGAAAATAAAAAACTTCCTACTATAAAAAGTAGGGCTTTCACATCCCTTTTCACAGTGCCTCCCCCTGGAAGGGAGGGATGTGTGACATTTTAAACTCTAGGCTAAAGCAGGATCATCACCTCTTGACCCTTGCCTGACAGCTGACTGGCAGCTGGCCAAGAGTTGCTGGACCTAACAGGTGGACTGGTGATTCTCTCCTCCAGACCAGTGGTGACAAATTTAAACTATCTTTGGCACTCTGGGCCTCTTTCTCCGCTCATCTTTCGTTACTGTACTCCTGCTTTAACCAAGCTTAGCAGCTTGCCCTCAAGCAAATTCCCATTTCTATTCTTCAACACACAATTTTTTAGTCTTCACAATGCTCTCTCCTTTTTTGTTCTGCTGGGTTATGTCCAATACCTCTTCTAAGACCTGGCTTACAGTATTTTTGACAAGTCTTCCATTCATTTGTCCACCATATACTGAGTGGCTAGGCCTTCCGTAGTAATTCATCAGCCTCCTCTATGTTCCTTCAGCAACTGGAGAGCCCATCTGTTCTACTTTTGTACATACTGCCTGTTTTACATAGTTACTTCCAAGCTACTACTCTTTATTCTGCCTCCCTATTAAACAGAAGCAATGACCCTCTTTTCTTTCATTAACCTATATTACCGTCCAAAGAACAGTAATATATAGTACTATGGTAGTAATCTGTACCTCTTTTAATCCTCACAAAGCCCTGTAAAGAGTTAATATTCCTGTATCCAATTTACAGACACAGAAACTGAGGTTCAAAGAGGTTGCTTCAATTATCACAAATCAAAAAGCCTTTAAGTGGCAGGGAAGGTGGCATCCAAGATCAAAGCTAGCCTCAACGTCGAATGTCCCAGCGCGATTGGGACTGAGGTGCTGAGGGCAAGGGCCCCCAGTCAAATCAATCAATACCGACAATTTACAAAACCGACACCAGAGGTCCATTTGCAGGGCGCGTTTCTGTTTATTTGTTTAGTTGTATATGGTTCGGTTTGGAAGGAGGGGTTATGATCACTCACCTCTCCCAATTTAGCCCCGTCCAGCCCCTCCCTGAGGGATCGATGTCCGGAGGCTGGAGGCCAAAGGCTACCCAGGCAGGTGGTGACCTCGGAGGCAGAATCGCGGCCTCGAGTCGCGTCGCTAACGGCGAAAAGATTGACGCGGTTGGACCGCGCCACTTCCGAAGTGATAAGGGACGTGATCTTGGAAGCTTCCTTAAAGATGAACAGGAAAAGGATGGTCAGGGTGACGGTCTTCCCCGCACGCCCTTTCTCTTTCTCCTCTCCCCGCTGGGTCCGCTATGTGCATCCCACAGCCTGATTTACTAAGAGAATCGTGTGAGACAGGGGAGGGGGAAAAGCCCCTAGATTGCAGTTACGGTAACTCGGTTGCTAACGCAAACTGACTTATTTACATATAATTTGCATGTCCAGGTACTTATGGAAGTACCCGATATGTCTGTACTTCCTTTCTAACTCGGCGTCCGCACCCGCTTGCTGGCCTGCTCCTCTCCCCTCTAGGCCGGGAGCCCCGTCCCATATCCAGTAACTTTCACTACCTTTTCGGTTACCTAGCCCGACAAACGCTACCTCCTGGCCGTCGGAAGATTGGCCCCTCCTCCCACCCTTAGGCTCCTCCCTCCGTCTTCTCCCTCCCCGGTTTCCAATTGCCTCTTCCCCGCCCCCTTTTCTATTTCTGAACAGGCGTGTTCCAGGCAGCCCCGCCGACTCTTTAGATTGCTATGGGATCGGTAGGGTCCTGAGCGTCGAAGAAGCAGGAAGGCATAGCCCAAGAAGGGCTGCTGGGACTCACGAGAAGAATCGAGCCCTGCTGGGATTTTATTTAGTTTTTGTTTGTTATTTTTGGTCTTGCTTTGGCGGAGGGAGGGAGAGGAGGCTGAGCGGCTCGGTCGAACTTGAGGCGGCGCGAAGGCCCCCTCAGGCGGCGCCGAGGGCAGCCCCGAAGCCGGGGCCTGGCTCCGCCGCCGCGGCCGCTGTCAGGGAAGCGCAGGCGACCAATGGAACCCGGGAGCGGCCACTGCTGCTGAGGCGGCGGTGTCGGCAGCCCGACTCCGACCGCCCGCACCCCCTCCGCGGGGGTCCCCTGGAGGTAAGCGACTCCTTCCCTGTGAGTCCCCCCGGCCCTGTGAGTGTGTGTGTGGGGGGGGGTCCCTCTCACACCCTGTCCCGCACAGCCTCTCCCCGCCCCCACACCTGGGTTCAACTACAAAACTGCCCTCCCGGTGGCATCTGCACCCCGAGTGCTCTCTCCACCCTTTTGCCTCAAACGTAGGGTCCTCCTATGCTTTTTTGGCTTCCTCTTCTGTTTAGCTCCTCCCTCGGCCCCGGGGATCCACCCCCCCCTTCCCCCGTCCCTGTTGCCTCTGTCCTGAATTATTCTCTATCAAGTCATGAACCCTTTCCACATCAGGACACCTCTTGTAATGCCCATCCTTGTTTGCCCTTTCTCGTCACCTGTGTTCCCGCTCCACACCGTCCTCACAGCCTCCGCCTTCGTCCCCTTTTCCTATTTTGCCCCTTTCCTGCGATGTCTCCGTGCATCCCCAGCGCGGGGTTCCTACTTCGCAGTGGCCCTCTTCCTCTGTTCCTGATTCCATTACCTCACTGCCACCCATCCAGCTCCTGGCTTCCAAGAATCGTCTCGTCGCCTCTCCTTAGGGATCTCAGGCCCTCGTCGTCATTCCCAAAGTACCGTTTGCATTGTACTTTGACCTTAATCCTTACCCTTCTTCTCAGGAGTGCTTTGTGAACCCTGTAACTTCCGTTAGCTTCCCTTTCACCCCCTCCTCAAATCCCCCAGCCTCTGGAAGCCTGTTTCCATAGAAGAGACGACATCTGACAGTGCCCCCTTCGCATTCAGGATCTCCAACTTTGACACCTTCTCCCTGGAGTCTCAGGGATTTTGCTGGTCCTTGGGACACTTGACTTTGTTTTCCGCATGGTCTTCTTCCTGTGCTCTCTGTTGCAGTCTTTATCTTCACATGCCACTCATTTCAGGATGGGCTAAAGCTGGAGGCGAGAAGAAAATGTGTTGGGGGGGGTGGCCTCCCCTGCCTCACTCGGGCTTTTCTGGACAGAGGGGTGTTTCCAAAGGATGGAGCAAATTTTGGAGAAGTCCCTATCAGATTACATTTTGTTGATGGCTCAGGATCCACCGCTAGGAGGGATGGACAGGGCTGCCTAGAAGCTGGATGAGGCTGTGAGAAATTTTGTTTTGTATTACTTACTTAGAGGTCTCGTCTTTGAGGGATCACAGAGTAGGGTGTCCTCCCACCCCATCCAGATCCAAAGGGAGTCTGCTCACTGCCTGTGGCTTACTGGAATAGTTTCAGTTGAGTCCATAAGAGCTTAGGCCTGGGGTGGGGTGGGGGGTAACAGGGAAGAGGAACATGAGACATTAGAAAAAGGTTGTAGGGGCACCTGGGTGGCTCAGTCAGTTAAGCGTCCGACCCCGGCTCAGATCACGATCTCACGGTTTGTGGGTTTGAGCCCCGCGTCGGGCTCTGTACTGACAGCTCAGAGCCTGGAGCCTGCTTCAGATTGTGTCTGCTTCTCTTTCTGCCCCTCTCCTGCTTGTGCTCTGACTCTCTCTCTCTCTCTCAAAAAAAAAAATATATATATATATATATATATATTTTTTTTAATTTAAAAAAGGAAAAGGTTTTACATTCAGAATCAGGATTCTTGGGCTCAGCTTATGACTTCCTCACTTGACCTCTAGAGTGACCTTTTTGAGAGAAGGGCCTGCTCTGTGGGCACTGGTGCAGTAACAGGCTACTTGTAGGATGTGGGTTGGGGGGAAATTAGACTTGGTTTATGTATTTACAGAGCAGTATGGGCTTCTCAGACAGAAGGCATTTACTAGTCATGGATTGGCTGATCTGAGACTTGGTCTCTCCATTGGGTCCTTCTAGTCGATAGGCACGATGATAAGTCCGTGTGGAAGACCAGCGCCAGAACTGCATCTTCTGTTTGCCCTGCGTTTTTTCCCCACTGCATGAAACCTCTGACCACCTGTGCTCTTCCCCTTGCGCTTGATCCATAAGTCCAGATTTCGTGGGTGGGAGGGATGTTTGAGGAAGGTGGCTGGGACAGAGCTTGGGGTGGGGTGGGACTCGGGAAGCCAGCTGCCCCCTTGTGCCCTGTCTCTCTGAGTCTGAGAGTGAAGAGGGCTTGTGCACTTCTGCTCATCCTCTGACTCTATGTCTGCTTGAAAGTCATCACGCATCCTCTTCCCATTTCTTCCTTGTGTCCCTCCTTGTCCCTCACCAGAGTGTAGTGTCCTCATCCTCCTCTTTAGGAGTAGATCCACTCTTCTGAAACACCCCCAAAAAGAAGCTATATTTCCCCCAGTTTCCCTGCTTCATTCTTGGAGCTGGCTGCATGCTGCTGCATGAGAACATGTTTGCCAAACGCCATCCAAAGGAGCAAATTGAAATTCTTTGATTTGGGGAAGAAGTTTGGGTGGAACCTTTCAGTAATTGGCATGAGACAAGAGAGGGCCTAGTCCAAGCACACTTGGGGCTTGCAGCAGGGAGGAGTAGTTCAGAGCGAGGTGAGCGCGCAGGTTACTTTCTTTGCCATCTGTCTCTTTCAGCAGGGGCTCCCAGAGCTGGCTTGGGCTGTCTGGCTGGAATCTGCTTCTACCAGCTCCCACGGGCCTGCACACAGACTTCTCAGCCTGATTCAATATTGACTTACCTACCCTGCGACCACTGCCTTCCCTACTCCCCACCCCCACCCCACCCCCGCTGGTAGCTTGAGAATGCCTTCTTCCCTGATGCCAACCCCCCACTGGAGCCTTGGGGAAGCATTTACCTGGTTCCTGCCAGAGCCTGAGCCTGCTTGACTGTTCAGCCTGGAGTTCCTACAAGGAAAAAATAGTACTCAGTCTCTACCTTGTGTCTTGAGGTCAAGGGGGAAAGATGAGTGGAGACCTTCTTAAAGGAAGGTTTGAGTTAGATTTAAGACGTGAGGAGAAACTCCTCAACACAACAGGCAGGCTAGGGTGATGCAGAGTCTCTTTTGAAGAGTGACCTCTTTTTTTTTTTTTTTAAATGTTTTATTTATTTCTAGGAGAGAGAGAGAGACAGCGTGAGCAGGGGAGGGTCAGAGAGAGAGGGAGTCACAGACTGAAACAGGCTCCAGGCTCCGAGCTGGCAGTCAGCACAGAGCCCGACGCGGGACTCGAACCCACGAACCGTGAGATCATGACCTAAGCGAAAGTCGGAGGCTTAACCGACTAAGCCACCCAGGCGCCCCTGATAGTAATTTTTAAAAAGAGGTCACTCATGGGGCACCTGGGTGGCTTAGTCGGTTAAGCCTCCGACTTTCGCTTAGGTCATGATCTCACGGTTCGTGGGTTCGAGTCCCGCGTCGGGCTCTGTGCTGACTGCCAGCTCGGAGCCTGGAGCCTGTTTCAGTCTGTGACTCCCTCTCTCTCTGACCCTCCCCTGCTCACGCTGTCTCTCTCTCTCTCCTAGAAATAAATAAAACATTTAAAAAAAAATTTTTTTAATAAAAAAATAAAAATAAAAAATAAAAATTACTATCAAAGGTGGGGCGCCTGCCTGCCTCAGTTGGTAGAGCCCACAACTCTTGATCTCGGGCTTGTAAGTTCAAGCCCCACGTTGGGGTATCAGGGGCGCCCAAGTGGCTCAGTCAGTTAAGCATCTGACTCACGCCCAGACTATGATCTCTTGGTTTGTGGGATCAAGCCCCACACTAACAACAGGGAGCCTGCTTGGGATTCTTTCTCTCTACCCCTCTCCCCACTGGCACACACTCACACGCTCCCTCTCTAAATAAATAAATAAATGAACATTTAAATAAATAAATAAAATCTTCACAAAAATCGTTACCAAAGGCAACCATGTACTTGGTAACAAATCCAGTGGTACTTAAGGGTTTATGATGAGATGAACAGTTCATTTCCATTCATCCCTACTCCTGCTCCTTTAGAGTTCATATCTTCATTATCGCAATATTTATTTCTGAAGGTTAGCACTACAGCATTGGATAAAATGCTTGTGCCTCTATTCCTTAATTTATTAATTGTAACAAAAGAGGATTGAACTTTAGAGAGGATTTACACTGCTTGTTTATATGGTCGTCACTTTTATTTATTTATCAGAAGCCCGTGTAACTGTAAATAGCATGTATGAACCCCTCTTTCTTTTCCATGAACTTGTAACAGTCTCTCTTAACTACCCACCTGTAGGATGAAGATAGCGGCTTCACTACCTTTGTTTCTAACTCACATGCTCCATCTCAAAAGGAGAAAAATTGAGCTTGCCTACCTGCTTGGAGATCAGATGTTCTTTTAAGACTATTCTGTGAAAGTACAGGAACCTGTAAAACATGAGGTGTGGTCTGAACCAACCCATATTTATCTAGTCCCCCAGGAAGGGAATGGTGATTAACTGGGTAAGGGGGTTGATTTGGGCTTTTTTACCTCCTATTCTATCAGAGGCCAATCCAGGAAGGCCTTTAATGGAGACCAGTAGAGGGTTGGAAGGTTGTTTGCCTGGCATCTTTTGAGGTGATGAGAAGTGGGAAACCAGGTTAAACATCTTCTCCCCCCTAGAGTTTTTGCCAACATTTCCTTAAATGCTAGGCCATATGGGACACATGCTTGTATGGCCTCTCTGCCCTGCCACTGCTGCGCCCCGCCCTGAACGGCCCCCAGATGCTCAGATGAGGACTCCCTGCATTGCCCAGACAGTAAGCTGTGGAGCCCAGCCAGTTTATAACACTCCTCCACTTCCATCTCAGTGCCCAGAAGCCAGCTGCTAGGCTAGGGCTTGGGAGGCCTTCTCATTTCCCTTCATCTAATTGGAAGGACAGTTTAGACTCTGAGCGTGAAATGTGGAGCTCAGTTGTTTGAACATCTTTGAGAGCGTTCGAGCCATCTGATATTAAAGATTTGTATTTTCTTCTCTTTTTACTTATTCTCTCTTGTGCACGCTCTTTCTCTTTCTCTCTCTTTCTTGAGAGAGAAAGAGAAAGAGCGTGCAAGTGAGAGGGAAAGAGAAAGAGAGAGAATCTTAATCAGGCTCCATTCTCAGCATAGAGCCTGACTCGGCGCTCGATCCCATGACCCTGGAATCCCATGACCTGAGCTGAAATCAAGAGTCAGATGTTCAGCAGACTAAACCACTCAGGAGCCCTTCTTTTTTCTGTTCTCTTAAAAGAGGAAAGGTGATGAATACAGAACCTGTTCCTTCCTTTTTTCTCTAGCTTTCTCGTCCTTTCCCTTTCTTTAGAATGGTTACTCACCAAAACTATATTGTCTTTGCTTTTGAAAAGGAATGAATTGATGTTGAAAACCACATCGGGATTTAGGTTTTCCTGTCTCTTATTGTCTAAATTGGCAACTCAGCACCCCCTCCCCCCCATGACTTGCTTCAGATGCAGGTAGTCTCTGAGGCTCAGAGAGTCCAGGGAGCTCTGGCTCATTTGGTAGTTTCTAGTGGTGGGGCTGCCTGCACAGGAGAAGAATCCAGTTTTCCTGAGCCTCCTGACACTGGCTGGTTCCCTGGGGAATAAAGACTGCCAGATGGGGGCTCTGTTCAATGGAGAAGTCCCCTGAGTACTGTGATGTGGGATTCCTGGCTGAGCCCTGGGATAAAAGAAAATAATAATGTCAGGCTTACCTCCCTTCCTGGTGCCAGTAATAATCCCAATTGTGATCAATATGGGCAGGCATTGGCTTCATGTCCTAGTGAGGTCTGTGGTGCTAAATGTGGGAGACTGTCTGAATTTCACCTCTTAGAAGTTTTGAAAAGTAGAATTTAGGAGCTTTTGGTGACTTGGAAGTCTCTGGAATAGAGGGAAGGGGAACAACGTGCCACGCATAGGCAGATTGAGGGGAAAAAAGTTAGTTGTATAAAACAGTTGAAGCTGTCATGTGAGGTTTCCAGCAGACCTAAAAGGTAGTGGTCCCTGTTGAGTTAGAATGACCGTCTGGTGCAGAGTGCCCTACAGAGGTGTGGCCGGGGAAGATGCGAGCTTCCTCATGACTCCCATGTTACCTGCAAGTAGAGACAGATCCACCTAGGCAGCCATGCTGGTTCTGCTGCTCCGAGGGTGCTGCCCAGTTTTAGGAGAGATAATGAACAAGTTGCCAAACTTTTAAAGCTGCATCGGATAAATTAAATTCAGGGATGGGAACTTCTTGTGTGACAGAGTTGGGAGAAAGAGAAACCCAAGTAGCCTTTTTTGGTGATCTCTGAGAACAGAAGAGTTCCTCATCTATCTTCCGGCAAGACTTCAGTGGGGCGTGCTGGGATGCAGGGGCTGGGCTGTAATGGTGTTGGCAGAGCAGAGTAGCTTAGATGCTTAACGTTTCAGAGGCGCATGAAGAAGCGCTAGAAGGGTGGCAGTGGAAAATGGGGCTTCTCCGTGTGGTTGGAGGATTTGTATCTTGAGCTTCTTTTCACCTACCCGAAGTTCTGTGTCCCCATATTCCCTAGCATCAAAGGTGATGTCACTAATAGTTGGAAACGACCTGCATTCCAGCTCTACAGTAGATTCTGCCTTCCTCTCGCTCATACTCTTGAGTTTGTCTTAGATTCACCCCAGAGCCCATCGCCGACTACAGTCAGACTCTGGAGCTGGGTTGATCTGACGTTAACAATGTGCCTCTCCCAGTCCTTGTTTTGGAATTTCCTTCTATTCTGCACTCTCTCTTCCGATGTGGATTTGATGAGGATCTGAAGAATCGTTCTGGGAGAGCAGTGGCTTTTGTCACCCCAGTGAGGGATCCTTGGTGATGTGATTCCTGTTCCTCCCTGTACTTTGCATGTTATAGACTGATGAGCTTGAGCCCGAGTTCTTTTTGCCTTCTCCCAGCCCTCCCAGTTCTTGAAGTGTGTGTATGATAATGGGGAAAGGGGTGTGGGGGTAGGAGAGAGCTGTCATCAGTGTTCTGGAAGATTCTCGGACAGCGAATGTAACTCAAATTCACTTTCCTTACCAACAGTATACACGTGTACACACACACTCGTACACACGTATGCCATTTACTAACCCGTTAGGTGATTGGTACTCACCTAATGTTTACTAGTACTACTGCGTGCCAGGGGTTGTGCTAGGTCCTTTCACACACATGAAGTTATTCCATACGTAACAGTAGGAAGTAGATAGGTTTTTCCCACGTTGCAGTTGAGGAAACTGAAACCCAGAAAGTATATGGTTTGCAGAAGTTTACCCATCCCATAATAATGGCAGAGCCAGGATCTTGAATCCCATCCCAGCCTCTTTGACTCCAAGTTCAGGAGTCTTTCCACTTTGCTTCAGCTGCCACAGCACTAGAGAAAGAGGGACTGGTGTCATGAAGTCAGACAAGCAAAGAAATGGCACCCTTCAGCAGAGTTGATGATGGTTGTTTTAGAGCTCTTTTTTTCTAAGTGAAGCCTGGATGGTATTTGCTGACCTTATTCCTTGGGAACTTTGAGTCTAAAGAGAAGATAAAGTATCTGTGATTAGAAAAATATATCAAGACTTTGATACTACATAAAGGTGAGACGCTTAGGACCGGTGTACGGAGTGTTATATGAGTAAGGAAATAACACTTGAAAGAAGAAAAGAGAGAGGTTATTGGCAGGCATGTCCAGGGAGACACAGGAAGAGCACAACAATAGGAAAACATGTGAAGAGTAAGGACAAGGGAATGAGACCAGAGTTGCTTCCCAGTCTTCCTGCAGCATTTGTAAACCTGTATAAACATAACACGTAAAGCAGCATTTTGCAAGTACAGGGGAGGAACAGAGGCTATGCCGGGCAGCCAAGTGCAGAAGGAGGGAAGAGCGACGTGATGATCAGCCGTAGGGATGGTGGGGGGAGGCTTCGTGGGAGATGACTTGTCATCTGACTTTGAAGAGGTCCAGGAAGACAGACAGAGAGGAGGGGCCTGGGAAAGTTTTATGATGGGCAAAGGAAGACCCGAGGATGCCACCACTAACTGATTTGTCTGTGTCTCCCTTTCTGTGTCCTTCCGCCTCTAGCCTGGAAGCTCGAAGGCTGGTGGTGGCCATGGGAGACATGATGGTGGAACCCGCCCCCCTGAAGCCGGCTTCTGAGCCCACTCCCTGCCCACCAGGGAATAGTGGGGGCTCCTTGCTAGGTGTCATCACGGAGGGGGTCGGGGAACTGTCGGTGATTGATCGCGAGGTGGCTCAGAAGGCCTGCCGGGAGGTGCTGGAGCAGGTGCAGCTTTTGCGCGGAGGCCTGGCCATCTCCCGCACCGGCGCCCCGCCAGAGCTGGTCAATGGAGATATTTTGGACAGCGCCATCCGTTGCCTGGACGATCCACCTTCCCAGATACGGGAGGAAGAAGATGAAATGGGGGCCACCGTGGCCTCGGGCACGGCCAAGGGAGCGCGGAGGCGGCGGCAGAACAACTCGGCCAGACAGTCCTGGCTGCTGAGGCTGTTTGAGTCCAAACTGTTTGACATCTCCATGGCTATCTCCTACCTGTACAACTCCAAGGAGCCTGGGGTGCAGGCCTACATTGGCAACCGGCTCTTCTGCTTTCGCGATGAGGACGTGGATTTCTATCTGCCCCAGCTGCTTAACATGTACATCCACATGGATGAGGACGTGGGCGACGCCATCAAGCCCTACATAGTGCATCGCTGCCGCCAGAGCATTAACTTTTCCCTGCAGTGCGCCCTGCTGCTCGGGGCCTACTCCTCGGACATGCACATTTCCACTCAGCGACACTCCCGTGGGACCAAGCTCCGGAAGCTGATCCTCTCAGACGAGCTGAAGCCGGCTCACCGGAAGAGGGAGCTGCCCTCTTTGAGCCCAGCACCTGACATGGGGCTGTCTCCCTCTAAGAGGACTCACCAGCGCTCCAAGTCGGACGCCACCGCCAGCATAAGTCTCAGCAGCAACCTGAAACGAACAGCCAGCAACCCTAAAGTGGAGAATGAGGATGAGGTAAAATGCCTGGAAGGGGCCACGGGGCAAGGTGGCATGGAGACAGGGTGTCTGACCTACAGTTCTCTGTCCTCTTCTCTCCTGCCCTCTGTGTCATTTCACTGATAAAAGTATGGGATGTCAGAGTGGAAAAAGACCTTAGAATTCATGTTTTCCAGCTGCCTCAGCTTACAAGGGAAGAACTCAGAGACCCAGAGAGATAAAGTGACCTTCCTCGGGTCATATAGCTAATAGCAAAGCTGACACTCCTGACTCCGCCCAACCCCCCTCCCCTTCCATTAACTACCTGCTTACTGAGAACCTGGGCAGAGACCCCTCCCATCCTGACTTGAGACCTGGGCTCCTTACCAGAACCTCTCAGAGCAGCAGGCATGCGGGAGGAGAAGAGATGGCGCATGTGCCGGAGGGAAGGAGCGTTAAATAGGGCCTTAGCCTCATTCTCCTGGTCACTCCTTCTCATCCCTCTGCCCCACTCCCCAGTGATCCTGCTTTTCGTTGACTTAAGAGTAAGGTTTATTCCCTGTCACCGAGACATCTGCAGAATGCCCTTGTGCCCACCTTTCCTCCAGAGAAGGGATGTCTTGCTGGTGTCTTTCCCTTTGATTTGGGAAAAGCACAAAGGGAAGAGGGAAGCAGTGTTGGTGTGAAGTAAATGTTGGGCGTGCCCAGAGTCTAGTCAGAGACTTGAGGGCTGGAAAGAAGAGAAGCCTGCAGGAGCAGTTGGGGTGTCCAGTTTAGGATCCAGAGCAGGGAGGACATAAGCCCATCAGTAGGTTATGCCCACCTTCCATTCCATGTCTGGGCAGACAGCTTGGGAAGTTGCCAGTGGACAGCCGAGTGTCGGCGACCTGGTGTCCCAACCAGACAATGGTGCCCCAGTGCCCTCTTCTGACTCACCAGCATCCCGGCTCTCATCCTGGCTGCCAGCCCAGCCTAAAAAAAAAGGGAGAAAAGAACAAGGAATTTGCACTTGTTGGAAAATGCATATAGCTGTGGTGCTGGCATGTGCCCCTGTGGGACACAGAACCCACCCACGGTTTTGATACAATGAAACTTCTTTCAGCTTCTTTGAATCAAAGTGACTAAGGGAGGGAGAAAGCAGGAGGGACGGAGACCACAGAGCCTGCTTTCTGGAAATCCGGGATTTCATTATGGTAATTTAATAATAATGAAGCTAAAAGAGCTAACGTTTATTGAGCATTTATTGTGTGCCAAATATCATGCCAAATACTTTACATTTCATCCTCACAGAAGTCCTAAGAGACGGGTTATTTTACCGCTGGGGAGACAGGCTTAGAGGGCGAGGAGATTTGCCCAGGGCCCCTCAGCCAGGCCTCAGCTCACAGCTGGTGCTCCTCATCATTCAGCCGAGTCTTCTTGCTTATTTCTCAGCAGCCGTTTTCCTAGGCCTTCAGCTGTCAGGGTCCACTTGGGGAAGAATGGCCTAGGCCTTAAGCCATCTGGGTTTCCACAATTCCACACACAGGCAGAAGAGTCCAACTGTTCTCAGAACCAAAATGGACCATTTTCTTTTCTGGTTGAGCTTGGCAGGCAAATTCAGAATCATGAAGGGAGGTTGTTATGGAATATAAGGAGAATCATTCAGATCTGGCGGGACTACGGTCAGGAAGGGTTTGGGAGCCCCTTCTCTTGGGGGTCAGGCCCGTAGCGGGGTGTGTGAGGGCAGCTGGATGGGCCCCGTGGTGCCTCCTGTCAGACGTGGCTTTTCTCTGTGCGCATTTGGTAGTTGTCATCTTAGGGCCAGAAAAGCTGAGGCCTCAGTGCGACTCTGTGCTGGTCCTTGGTCCCTCTTCCTTGGTTCTGACTCCTGCCCAAGTTGGGGTCACGGGTGACTCTGAGACCTCAGTATTCTGGTAAATCCTCTGACATGGCTTCTCTGGCTGCCATTCTTTCCAGCTGGCTCCGTATCTTGGATCACTAGATCCAGGAAGGGAGGGAGGTGCTGCCTCCCCAGGCACTCCTGGGTTATCTGATGCTGGCAGAGTGAGGCACCCAAGCCCGCTGTGCCGCCTTTGGAAGCGCGGGAGCGGGGGGCGGGGGGAATAGACATGAATACTTCAGCGGGTCTGAGCACTGGCAACCCCGAGGTCTCTCCAAACCCCTTTGGCAACTTGAGGGTACATCTGCCCAGGCCAAATTACCGAGGGGATTGGTTTTCCTCCTTCTACTCCTTCTTCCCTGTTGTGCGACATTCATTCACCCACCAAATGAGGTTGTACAGTGTGCAGTGTCCAGGGCCAGAAGCGGTGGAGGATGGAGGGTCAGGTGCAGCCCCTCCCTCCAGGAACTTGGAATGTGAGACTCCATTATCTGAGAGAGCATTCAGTGTGGAACTCTCGATTTGGTGTCCTGAAACTTCACTGGATTGATCAGTTCTAACAGTTTTTTGGTGGAGGTTGTGACTCTCTTGAAAAGCTGTTTCCTACATAAGGAGGATGTCTACAGCTTACTAAACAAAGCACATAATTACCTAAAGAGCAGCTCTGGAGGATAAAGTGAGGCCGCAGACGAAGAGGTCCTGGGGTTGCCGGTCCAGTTCTCTCCCTGCCTGGAGGCTCCCTGCACAGTTGTCCTCTCCCCAGAGGTCACACAGGGTCCTGCTTTCCTTTACCGACGGGTCTTTCCACTATCTACACGTGGAGGGCTGTAGCGTGGATCTCTCCGGGCCCTCGCCATTCCAGCCCCCAGGCCCACCGCTTCAAAGCAGTTTTTGTCAGCCTGGCCAGAGGACTCTGCTCAGGTAGTGTTCCTTCCCGTTTGTAACCCAAACTCTCAGCCTTTTGGCCCAGAGGAGGGGCCCAGGGAGCAGAGATGATTTAGGTGCCACCTCAGCTCCACACCCTGTCCCACGCAGGGACACTCCTAGTAGATCAGCTCTGTCTCTTCAGGACTGCAACCTTTGTACAGGGAAATCTGCTGCGTGTCACACTGGAAACCCCAGTGGGCCTTCCAGCCCGATGCGGTGTGATGTCAGCTTCTTGGCCTCAGCACTTGTCCTGGAGCTGACTCAGTATGGGTGACGCAAGCCTCCAGAGCAGGAGAGAGGAGCAGGGCATGCTCTACCTCCCTCCCCCTGAGGCTGTCAGCAAGTCAGCCAGGGCCTGTCTGTGGAAGAGTCAGCTGGGGCGCCACGCTCCAAGCCAGTGACTTGCCTGCTCTTCCTTCCTTACCAGCTCGTAGGTAGAGAGGGACAGACTCTGGCACCCTCCTCGCTGCCTCAGTTCCCCCTCTTGCCTCTCTCCAAGTCAGAGGCCGTGTTGCCTTGGGAGACTGTTGGCTTGCCTTCTCCCTCAGAGTGCTCCTCTCCCCAGATTCTTCAAGGAATGACCTGACTGTAGGACCTCCAGCTAGAAGAGAATGCAAACCATGGACTGGAATTAAGTAGATGCTTGACATCCGATTGCAGAGTAGAAGCTTTGTAACCACTGCCCTCCTGGCCCGGGACCTCCCAGGACTTTGTCTCCTAAGGCCAGGCCCCTGCCCTCCTGCAGGTTCGTGCACAGGTATTGCCCCTTTCTCCCTGCCCTGGGAGACCTTGGTTGGCAGCACTCCGATGGGCGTGTGCATGAGCTGCAGCAGAGCCGCTGAAGGAGAGTTTGACCACCAGTCCTTTCCCCTGGTGTGCTCACAGACGCCAGAAAGACAGGGTGACGTTTAGACAGACCCCTAGCCCGGGGCGTGGCCCGGCTGCTCTGGCTGCTCTGCCTTCTCTGGCGGATGCAGCCAGGGCCAGCTCCCCAGCTCAGGTCCTCAGATGGTAATGTAGTGTGCAGGGAGTGGAGTAACCTGCTAGGAAGCCTGCGGAGGTGTGATAGAGTTATCCTATCCTGGATGCCCAGCAGCATCCGTATGCCCAGGGTGTCATGCTCATGGCTGTGGAGTGTCCCTTGTCACCTGCTTCAGTGTTGGGACTGGTCTTCCCAGGGTGATCATGAGGCTGATTGGAGAGGAGACACCCTTGACCCTGAAAGTTCAGCTCTTCTTCTGCTTCCTCCTTGTTGTTTCCAAGAAGCTGGAGGACTGCAGGCTTTCCAGTATGGGGCCATGCAGCGCGTTAAATTCGGTCCCTCCGTGGTGGTTTACACAGAGAAGACTGGTTGGGAGCCCATGAGTGAGTCAGTGAAGAGATAGCAGGCTGCTCGCCAGTGTCGCTACTGCCCTGGGGCACCCAGATGTAGGGTCTGTCCTGGAGGGAGGGAGAGCTGGGAGCAGGCAGGGAGAGAAGGGGAGAAAGTGAAAAGTAGAGGCTCTCTGTCTCCTCAACCCTGCTTATGTCAAGGTCTGAGCTTGCCTTCCAGTGTCTCCCACAAGTGTCAAGAATTTGGGCAAGTGGTGTTTCTGGGTTGACTTTCTCTGGTTAAAGTGGCAAGGAGAGAAAGGAGAGATCTGGAGAGAAACTATTATGATCCAGGTTGGAGCTAAATTCTTTGCCTTTGTCTCTCTCCCCTCCCTCCCCGCCCCTCCTCCTTCCCTTGCCCTCTGGCCCTTTCCCAGGAGCTCTCCTCCAGCACCGAGAGTATTGATAATTCATTCAGTTCCGTAAGTGGGGCCAGGCTGGGACTGGGTGGCAGGCTCTCCCCCACCCCGTGGGCCGCATTTCCTCTCCGTCCCCAGGCCTTCTGAGTCCCCAGGCCATGGCTGGAATTAAAAGGTGCCTTTTCTTCCTGGGAGAACAGTCCCTCCCAGCAGGCCTCCCCAGCCTGGAGGAATCCCCTGTCCTCTGCCACCAGTACCCTGAGCCCAGGTCGGGCCTTCTCCCAGATACAGCTGGGAAGCAACGTGACTCAGCCCCCAGTTCCTGGGTCTCTGGAGCAAACAGCTGGGAGAGAGGTAGAATTTACCCCTGGATTGGAGCCGAGGACTGCTTGGCAGAAACCCCCAGGGTCCTGTTTTCCCCCACCCAGAACCTTTTCCCCATGGCTTCTGCCATTAGACCATCAAATATTTATTCAGCTCTTCTAAATGCTAGGCCCTGTGCTGCGGGAGCAGACTCCAAAAGCAAACAGGATTTGGCCTGAAGGAAAGTTTTTCCTCCCCACAGCTGTTTTTCTCTTTTAGCTTCAACTGCCTTTCTTCCAGGTCTGAGTTCTTCCCTTTCCCAGCTCACTGCCAGGAGGTTCCTCAGTCTGCATTCTCCTTTCTTGTTCCCTCTGGACTAACCCCGTGACCCTCTGATCCCACAGGGTCTTGGACCTTGTTGCTGGGCAGAGACGTGAGAGGAAATGCTGGACCCTCTGGGAGTTTGGACGATTTTTTTACATTTTCTTTTTGATTTATCTACGCAATCAATTTTCTCCGTTCTGTGCTGATTCCCTTTCAGTCATGATTCCTATCTCCTCCCATGTGGCAGAGCCTCTGTTGAGGCCTGGGGTCACACCTCCAACATACTCAAGGAATGTAGGGCCCTGACCCAAATGCTGATTCGAGGATGGGAAGGAGTTCTGCCTTTTCTAATCTAAGATGACTCTGAATTGGCTGGGCTGGAGGGTCCTTGGAACAGTGACCATTTGCCACCTGAGTGGATGGATTAGGGGATCAGGATGAATGAAGGAGTGAGTCTCCTAATTCCCTCTTCCTTCCTTTCGCTTTCTTCATATCCCCTGGGCTATTTCCAGGGACCTAAGGAGCCCAGTTGTGCTGTCTTCCTGTCTGTCTCTTTTCAACCCTGTTTCCCAGAGCACCCCTGATTGATTCTGACACCTTGTGTCATTAGTGTGTGGGGCCCTAAGCCAGCCCCCCTGGGGGCAGAGGCTGAGAGATGAGCTGTTCCTTCGAACCCTGGCTCTTTGCACATGCAGAGATGGGCCTGGGACTGCCCAGCTTTCAAAGAAGCTCTTTTTTGTGGTGTAAGGGAGTGAGGGTAGAAATTCTCAATTCTCGAGAAACTAAACAGGGCCCACAGAGAAGGAGAGAAAGGCCTGGTGAGTGAAATATTGTTGCTGTCAGTAGAGGAGACTGTTCTTATGCAGCTGAGGGGAGTTGGGCGGGGGACGCCCGGTGGCTACCTTGATAAAGTGCCCTTAAGATAGAAGGACTTAGGCTGGGCAAAGAGTCCTCCTTCGTGTCAGTCTTCCCCCTACCCCCACCACACTCCCCAGACAGACTTTGCCCTTTCTGAGAACACCGAGCTACCCAGCCTGAGGACCCAAGCTCACAGCAGGGAGCTCAGAGGGGGAGCCTAGACCCTGAGATGGGACGGGTGGGGGGAAGAGGACCCAAACAGGAACCGCTGAAAGAGACAGGCCTTCAGGGCCCTTGTGGAGGGCTGAAGGGAGCTGTGGCTTTCTCCACCCGCCTCGCCACACCTCCCTCGCTCCCTCTGCTTTTGTTGTCCCATCGGTTGTTTCCTCATTAATGCAGAGTCTACTCCTATCCCCTCCTCATCCCTGGCATGCACAGTGACCCCTTGTAAAAGACCGAGAGGGTGCACAGGGGTGTGCTGTGGGAGGTAACTGAAGTCATTTGAATGGAGTCAGTCCTCCTCCTTTGCAAGGGGACAGAGTGACTCAGAGCCCCCCCGCCCCCAGCCTTGTGGGCTCCGGCCCAAGAACCCTGAGCTGAGTGAGGCGCGTCAGGTGTAAGCAGCTCTTCTCTCTGTCTGCCCACCCATCTTGGAGCCTTGGGACAGTTCCTAAGGAACTCAGGGCCAAGAGAAGAGGGGTGCCTCCCAGCGACCCACATTCATGCCCCCCTCCCCGCCCAGGAAGCAGCACGAGGAAGAGTGGGCTGGCTTTTCTGCCTCCTCCCAGCTCAGGTTGTCAGGGGTGGGGCGGTGGGACCTGCTACCAGTGCTGAAAGGTAGCTCCTTCCCTAGAGCTCAGACGTTGGGATCCCTGGCCTGCACGGCCAGGAGTGACTGAGTCGGTGGGCCACTTTTTTCTACGGTTTCTTCAACGTCTTTCACTTCACCCCAACCCCCTGTAGCCCGTCAGACTGGCTCCTGAGCGAGAATTCATCAAGTCCCTGATGGCAATTGGCAAGCGGCTGGCCACTCTACCCACCAAGGAGCAGAAGACACAGCGGCTGATCTCAGAGCTCTCTCTGCTCAACCACAAGCTCCCCGCCCGCGTGTGGCTGCCCACTGCTGGCTTTGAGCACCATGTGGTCCGGGTGCCCCACACCCAGGCCGTCGTCCTCAACTCCAAGGACAAGGTAGGTGGGCTCTGGCCCACACCTGCCCTCCACGGCTGTCCACATTTGTGTGCTCATCCAGGGAGGCCGCGCCAGCATCCCAGACCCCTTCACAGTTTACGTGCCCCCGTGAGTCTTGACTTGACGTCAGTGCTGTTGTGAGGACCATCTTGTCCCCCTTCTCGGGCCTTTTTTTCTGGTCCCAGAGAGGCCTAATCTTTTTAGCTCTCCTCTTCCTATGTCTCAGGAGAGAGTTGCTCTCAGCCTCCTTCCAGCTCTTCTTTAACTCTTAGGCTTTCCAGGTATAGTGACAGTGGGGGCAGAGAAATCTCTTGTTTCTAGGACCTTCTCTGATCAGAGTGGGCAGGGAGGGGAGAAGGATGCCAGACCCATGTTGGAGAGAGTTAGCTGAACTTGTGTGCTGATTGGAATGAATACTAAGGTTCAGCTTCTTCAGAAGTATTGAGGATTAGAAGCCTGCTTGGAAAAGCACCCAGCAGTTCCCCAGTCTCTTTATCTGTCTTTAGGACAAGGCCTTCCAGGCCCCTGGGGTTGTGGAGGTAGTTGTGATTGTGCCCAAGTGCATCATCTGTACATGTTGAAGCGCAGCTGAAACATATGTTTGTTTGTTTTTAAAAACTTTATTTTGAAGTAGTCTCTACACCCAACATGGGGCTCAAACCCACAACCCTGAGGCAGTAGGCACTCCTCAGCTGAAACACTTTAAAGATCTATGTGTGCTCTCACCCTGATCCTTGACATGCATGTTCACAGGACAAGCTCTTGACCTGAATGTGGTGCTCCCAGTGTCGGGGGACTGACAGGCAAGGGTTGGAGCCAGGAGTGGGCGGCTAGAGGGGCAGTGTTGGCCAGGGTGAGACTCAGGGGACGGTGGTGGAGGTAAGAGGTACCGTTCTCACACCCGCTGTGCCCCCCCAACCCCCCACCCAGGCTCCCTACCTGATCTATGTGGAAGTCCTTGAATGTGAAAATTTTGACACCACCAACGTCCCTGCCCGGATCCCCGAGAACCGAATCCGGAGCACACGGTCCGTGGAGAACCTGCCCGAGTGTGGTATCACCCATGAGCAGCGGGCAGGCAGCTTCAGCACAGTGCCCAACTATGACAACGATGACGAGGCCTGGTCGGTGGATGACATAGGCGAGCTGCAGGTGGAGGTGAGGGAGCTCCCAGGAGGTGGTGCTGGGGCCCAGCACCTGTTCTCCAGGAGCTTTTGTTACATTTGAGACAAGACAGCGCGCCCTGAGGCGGGCTGAGGCAGGGTGCCATTTCGGTGAGGCAGGTAGGAACGGGGGTGCAGGGGGGCGGGGGGACGTGCTGAGCGGCAAAAGTGCTGAGTGGCTCAGTCTGGGATATTCAGGTGGAGCTCATTTTCCTGCCGAAGGAATTTAGGTTAAATGTAAGGATGAGTTCCTAAGCCCAGGGGAGTGAGGGAACTTTAAAGTGTTTATTGAACATCTGCCGTGCAGAGTTGTCTGAGGGAGGCAGAGAGGAAGAAGTCATACATTTACTCATCCAGGAAACATTTATGGAGGGCCTTCTGTGTGCCAACCCTGAGTGCTCTGTGCTAGTGAGCAGGGAGGCGCGTGCCTGCGGGGGGTTCATGGCCTGAAACGAGAGAGGACAGGAGGAGGACGAGACGAGACACAGGTGGCTGTGGGCCGCTGAGACCCCAGTGGGCTGCGGAGGCAGGGCGTTAACAGGGGCGCCTGAGGGTAGGGTACGACTTGCTGCAGGCCTGGGCCTGGCCACAGCCCAGATGATTCACTAAGGAAGTAATAGGTCAGTGGGGGCCTGAAGGTGGGGAGGGGTTTGCTGGACAGAGCACCCCTGGCAGAGGGACCAGCAAATGTGCAAATTCTGGGGGACGAGAGAGCCCGGCCCAGTTGAGGAGCTGAAGGCCGCTGTGTGTGGCTGTGATGTGTGGCCCGGGTGCCAGTGGTGAAGGAGGCCAGGAGGTTGGCGTGGGCACGACTGTTAGGAGGGTGCTGTCGACCGTGGGAAGAGACTGGGACTGGGTGCTAGGGCTGTGCAGAGCCAACATTTTATGGGGGACTGTGACACAGCCAGATTTCGTTTTGTGAAGACAGACTGTCCTTGAGCTTACAACCCAGTTAGGGAGGTGGGACAGTTCTTATTTATAGGATGTACAGCAAGGCAGCGTTTGGTAAGTGCCAAGCGGACTTGAGGAGAAGTGATCAGCTCTGAAGGAAAGGGCCTTGCTGGGGACCCTGGGGTCTGGTAGAATAATTCGTATTTGAGAGAGATGGGGAGGTAAGACTGAATGGCCGAGATCAAAGAAGTGTTCAGAGGGGGCTCGTCAGGAGAAGCTGTGTTCTGGGCCCTAAGGACGCGGTCGCAGCAGTGGAGAAGGCCTCGCAGAAGGCCCAGAGCTTGGCTTTCTGGGGCGGTTGTGGCAGTGGTGTGCACCCTTAAGCACACTTGGGGTCTTCTGGAGAACTTGTTCAAAATTCAGACTTCCAGATCCCATTCGCAGTAATTCTGCTTTAGACTGATGGCAGGAAATGGGAATCTGCATTTTAGCAGCCTTCCACAAAGACAGGCTTTCTGGAACAGAATCCATAAGGTTGGGGGCGGGGGGGGGAGTTGTGACACAGAGGCAGCGAGCAGGCAGAGTAACTGGACGAGTAGAGGACAGAAGCAAGGCCTGTGCTTGGCGTTTCTGACTTGGCGGTCCCCTACCGTCCCAGCTCCCTGAGGTGCACACCAACAGCTGTGACAACATCTCCCAGTTCTCTGTGGACAGCATCACCAGCCAGGAGAGCAAGGAGCCTGTGTTCATAGCCGCAGGGGACATCCGGTACGGCCAGACCACCACCTGCCCCTTGTTCCTCCTCCTTCTCGGGCACTGCCTGCCTCTGTCCCCTTTCTGTGCATCAGCCTCTCTTTCCCTCTTCTCTCTCCTCACTCTGTCCTTGTCCTGAGGCCACAAAACTTGAGGCAGTGAAGATGCAGGTTGAGAAATGACTGGGCTACCACAGAAGGAAGTTGCATTTTAAGAGAACTCCAAAGGAATGAAAGCACTAGAGGAAGGAATTAGAACAGCATTCCTCGGATTGGGTCTGAGCATCACGCGTATCAGAATCAAGGGACGGGGAGGAGAGCTTGCTGGACTTACAGATGCCAGAGCCACACCCGGGCTGACTCAGGGTCTTGGTTGAGGAATGGGGAGGGCCCGGTTACCTGCATCACAGCATGATTACAAACCCACCAGGTTAGCGAAACTCTCGGGCCAGATTTCTGTCTCTGTGTGCCCAGAACCAAGGACAGAGTACAGGAGATGCCGGTATAGACAGGGACAGGAGGCTGGCAGGGAAGGGTGTATCTCTGCCAAGCAAATGATCCAGTTTCTTCCTGCTAGACGGCGGCTCTCGGAGCAGCTGGCTCACACCCCCACGGCCTTCAGACGAGACCCGGAAGACCCTTCGGCAGTTGCTCTCAAAGAGCCCTGGCAGGAGAAAGTAAGGTGAGTCTGGTGGGAGTGGTCCCTAGGCCCTCGCAAAGTTTGCAGGCCACCGGGGAACCCACTGCACCGTCTGTATTGTCCATCAGCCTTTCCCAAACCGTCAGCCCCCCAGGCGTCCGAGTCCTTGCCTCGTGGGGAGTTGGTTTGGACTGCGGGCAGAAGCCATGTCTGCCGTCTCCCGGCGTCACCCGTCACCCATAAACACCTGCTGCTGCTTTCTTCACAGGCGCATCAGAGAGGGCTCCCCCTATGGCCACCTCCCCAATTGGCGGCTACTGTCAGTCATTGTTAAGTGTGGGGATGACCTTCGGCAGGAGCTCCTGGCCTTCCAGGTGTTAAAGCAACTGCAGGTAAGAGAGGAGGGGGAGGAGTGGGCAGCAGGTGGTTCTGCAGGGCACGCTGCTGGGGCTGGGCTTTCCGCCCAAGCTGGTACTCCTTGGGGGGGAGGGCAGGGACACAGCCACAGGAGCAGCTCCGCAGCGACCCCTCGTGGCCTTTTCGTGACCTGTGCCTGCTATGATCCCTGAACTTTGGGGGCTGGGTTTGTCCTGGAGTCTCCTAACTGGTCTATGGCAGGGGGCTTGCAGTGCAGACCCCTCCCACCCCGAACCTTCACACTGGTCACCTGCAGGCAGCTTTACCTATTGAATCCAGTTCTCTCTGTAAATACGGTCCTTTTTTAAAGAGGGTTTCTCTGTACCTAAATCCTTCCTTTGCCTTTTTGGGGGCTTTCAATCTCTCCAGTGCCTTTTCTCACATACCTCCCAGTGTATTGTTGGGCCCTGGACTTCTTTCAAAACCCCCTGGTCCCTCAGTGGGACCAGTGGGTTTTCCTCACTTGATGGCCCAGAATCCAAGGCCATGAGGATGGGGACTGTCCAAGGTTGAGGTCAGAGGGGGATTTTAGCCTCCTTCTCCAGTTTGGAAGGATGATAGTCGCATGCCTCTGTCTCCTCACAGTCCATTTGGGAACAGGAGCGAGTGCCCCTGTGGATCAAGCCATACAAGATCCTTGTGATTTCGGCTGACAGCGGCATGATCGAACCTGTGGTCAACGCTGTGTCCATCCACCAGGTGAAGAAGCAGTCACAGCTCTCCCTGCTTGATTACTTCCTGCAGGAGCACGGCAGCTACACCACCGAGGCGTTCCTCAGTGCCCAGCGCAATTTTGTGCAAAGTTGTGCTGGCTACTGCTTGGTCTGCTACTTACTCCAAGTGAAGGACAGGTGGGTGAGCTCCTCATCCTGACTTCGGCCCTTCACGCGTCTTCTTGCAACCTCCCGTTGCCCAGATGTAACCGTGGAACAAATAGCACAATTTAAGTGGAGAGGTGTTCGCGAACCGTGCGGCCAGGAGGCAGACAAGTACTAGGGCACAGAGGCGGAGAGGTGGAGGGTGTAGGGGGAGCAGGGGTTTGAGCAGGCGGCATCCCGAAGGCTGCAGGAGGGGGAGGGCGGAGAGCGCTGTGGCAGTGGGGCCGGAGGACAGGGACAGTGCAGTGCGCGCGCGGCGGGAGCAGGCCCGGCGCTGTGCAGGTCAGGAGGGCCTTCGCTGTGAGGCTGCAGGCAGAGCAGTGACAAAGTCCCGTCTTGGACTTGACTGCCCCCTGTGGCGCCGAGGGTGAGGTCGGATGTAACTGGGTAAGGAAGCCAGAGGTGCTGAGGCCTGGCCTGAGGGCAGTGTTGGCGACCGAGAGCAGGAAAGAGAAAACGGACGTGAGGGACACGGTGGACGTGAAGTTGTAACTCCCAGCCCTGTGCTCTCTTTCTTGTTCCAGCGTGATTTCCACAGCTTTTGAGTATCCGTTGTTTTGCCCAGAGCTGTCATTTCTTCCAATATCACATTGACCTTTGTGAGGTCCAGCTTCTTAGGTGAACAACATGTTGTACAGACACAGTGACCCCAAAGTCTGTCTTAGTCTGTCTCCAGACACTGAGTGACTCCAGGGGAGCCCCCAGAATGTTCCTGCGAGTTGCCATTTGCTGGATAGAGGGCAGCCCCCTGGAAAGACCCACGTGGTGGCCTGAGCCCCTGGGGCTCCCAGCACCGCAGCAGCACATGGAGAGCTGACTGACGGGGCTGTTTAACAGGAGTCTAGTGTCTGTTAAGGTCCCGTCATGGCCTGGCCTTCTCTGAAAACCCCACGAGAACCCCGTCAGGCAGGCATTTCCTCCTCAGGGGAGTGAGGGTCAGGGAGTTCTCAGAGCCCGTGCTTGGTCTGCCCAGCGGGCCCTCTGCGCCTACGGGCTGACGGGAGATGCGACTATAAGGAATTTGGTTGCGAGCTTTAGACTGTCCCTGAAGCAGCAGGATTTTGAACCCAGGGCGCAGAGAGCCCAGAGCTGAGCCCCTGAGTAGATGGGTGGCGGGAGGCAGATGGTAGTCAGGCCTTCGGGCCTCCCTGTAGGAATAGATTTGTTTGGAGGCGTGGAGGCCATCCTGGAAAGGCAGAAGGGGCAGACAGCTGATAAAGCCCATAAGATAAAGAATGGATGTCATCCAGCTGTGAACAGTCAGCCACTGGTAGGAAGTGGCGGCCGGGAATCAGGTGGGATCGGGTACAGATCCCCTACCTGCTGCCGAGGGAGCCCCAAGCGGACTCCAGCACCCCTCTCTGGGGCCATGGGCATGATAGTCCCTTCTCTTGGGGCCTGTGTCCTGACCTGAACACTGAGAGGTTGCACCAGGACGTCTGAAACCGTTCTCGTCCCGAGCCTGCCTGTGTTGCCGCACTTGTGATGCTGTCTCCAAGGGGAAGGACTGAGGTGGGACTGGTTCTCCGCCTGTCCCCGTGCTGTAGCCAGTCAGACCAAACCTAGAGAAGGTGGCTTCCGCGCCTGACAAAGTCTCTGTGGACACTGTGGGGGTTGGTCGGGCCGAACGGGCCAGGCTCACTAGCTTAGCAGGCCAATCCTGCTGCTGCTGCTCCTGCTGCTGCTGCTGCTGGCCACTCCATGGGACTTTGCCCCTCTAACTCTTCCCGCAGCAAGCCTGTCGTGCTGGGCTCTGAGCCTACACGCCTGCTTCACACACAGACTCCACGCAGCCTGCCCTCTTGTGGTGGTGCTCTGCTCTGTTCTGCTCCGGGAGGGGGGGGCAAAACCGCCCCCCCCTCCCCCAGGCTGCTCGTAGCTCCAATATGTTCTGTTCGCACTGGAGGCCTCCCGCTGGGCAGAGGACTTGCCTCCAAGACACGAGACACAGACAAGCTGGGGACCTTTCCTTGCCTCCAGGTTCTCTGCTTGGGGTCAGTTTGGGTGCTGGAAGCACAGGTTTTGGAAAATGGGCTATTCTTAAGCTGTCGTAAGTGGCTAATGCGGGCGATTTCAAAAATAATCACAGTAATGACAATTGTAGACTCCACAGCCTTTGATAGCAGTTTACTTTTCCGATTTCCCTTCTTTCCGCTCTTAGCTTTCGGTCCTAGGAGGTTGGGCCCAGCGCGTCATAAGCAGCGACAGGCACTGCAGGAGGCTCCCCTGCCTGGGATCATGTGGCCAGTGTGCTGGGCTTGTGGCTCCTGCCTCAGTCAGACTCACTCCTGCCTCTCTCTCTCCTCTGCCCCCTCCTCAGACACAATGGAAACATCCTTTTGGATGCAGAAGGCCACATCATACACATCGATTTTGGCTTCATCCTGTCCAGTTCACCCCGAAACCTGGGCTTTGAGACGTCGGCCTTTAAGCTGACCACAGAGTTTGTGGACGTGAGTCCGGAAGGAGAGGTGCCTTAGTGTGTCCTTTCTCTGCCTTGGGAGAGGGAGCTGTGGGCTCCCCCCAAATCAGGGACAACCAGAACAGAGAGGGCAGCAAGTCAGGGTGAGGCTGGGTGTCCCGGGAGGCTTCCTGCCTGATGAGAGAGCAGGGAAGTCACGGGGCTTGGTATGTTTGCCTCACCGGAGGGGGTCCCAGCTGGCTTGTGGGACCCCAAGCACCGTGCACACACAAGCCTCCCTTCGCAGGTGATGGGGGGCCTGGATGGCGACATGTTCAACTACTACAAGATGCTGATGCTGCAGGGGCTGATCGCAGCCCGCAAGCACATGGACAAAGTGGTACAGATCGTCGAGATCATGCAGCAAGGTGGGCTGGGAAGAGGCCATGTGTTTGGGGACAGGGACGTGCCCAGTGCCCTGGGGTTCCCCTTACTGGGGCCCTGGAGCATGGAACTTACAAGCGTGGATTCTGCCTCCAGCCTGGGGGCGGCAGTGTCCAGAGGGTTTCCGGCTCCCAAGACCCAGTGCCATTTTTCCTTTGAGACAGTCCTCCTGATTCTGGACAGAGCTGGACGGGGCAGGGTGGGAGGGGTGCACAGGCTGCAGAAACTACCCCCTAGGCACACTCAGGGAAAGAACAGCCGGGTCCCCACCCTCTCCGTCCCATCCCCCACCCCCATCCCTTGTCCTTCCGTGTCTGGCTCTTCTCCGCCAGCCCAGGTGTTTCTGGTCACCGCTTCCTCTCTGCTGGCCCTTGACCACTCTCTGCCCTGTCCCTAGGCCCCTTCCCTGTGCCAACCCTCTCCTCTTGATCTACTCTCACTGAGCCATTTCCTTGCGGCCTAGTGTCCTGTCCAGGACCCCTCCCCTCCCAGCTCCTCTGGGCCCTGTCTCCATCCCCTCCTCAAGGCCACAGTGCGCACTGGGGCTAAGCTGCCAGTCTCCTCCTCCCCATCCCTGCCCCCACCCCACAGGTTGTCGCCGTTGCTCAGGAGCATCCCCGTCTGGCCCCGTGATGACGGTGGCCCAGATCATCTGTGAGTGTCAGACGTAGCGTAGGCAGAGGCTGCAGCCAGATAAGTGCCCAGCTCAGGGCCCATTCCCCAGACCCCCTTCCCAGCCTCCCCTCTGGGTCCTGACACTCTGCCCCCTCCACCCTTACTGGGGGCGAAGTGGTGCTGGTCCTCTCCCCCTCTGCCCTCACCCCCTCACCTGAAGGGCCTCAGGAGTGTGGGGTGAAGAAGGGCTCAAGACAGGGCTCCCCCTCGCTTCCCCCCTCTTCCCAAGTGGAACCGTGCCCACAGTCCGGGCACCCTCCAAGGCGGGAGGGAAGGGGCACTCCAGATGCCCCTGCGGCTGTTGCTGCCGCAGCTCCTCCCCAACCGCCTGTGACCCTGTGCCCTCACTGCCTCCCCCAGGCTCCCAGCTTCCTTGCTTCCACGGCTCCAGCACCATCCGCAACCTCAAGGAGCGGTTCCACATGAGCATGACCGAGGAGCAGCTGCAGCTGCTGGTGGAGCAGATGGTGGACGGCAGCATGCGGTCCATCACCACCAAACTCTACGACGGCTTCCAGTACCTCACCAACGGCATCATGTGACGCCCTCCTCCTCAGGCCCCGGAGGGGTGGGGGGGTTTGGGGGGGACCCCTGGGAGGGCCCTTGTCCCAGAACCCCCAGACCAGGAAGCCCTACCCACGGGAAGTGGAAGGCAAGGAATACAGAGGATCATGTGGTTAACTGTAGAGCTTGCTGGGAGTGGGAGAGCCTGTCGCGGGGCCCACGCCTGCCGGGGCTCCCTTGCCCCCGGCAGCGTCAGCGTCCCCACTGGACAGACCGCGGGACTCGGTGCCCTCCGGAGAACAGAGGTGACAGGTGGGAGGGGCACTGGGGTTTTTCTCCTCCTCACCAGGGTCCACGAGGTTCTTTCCACGGGCCATCCTTACTGTGCTGGGTCCAGGGCGGGGGGAGGGGGGAGAGAAGGGTCTTGGGACTAGAGACTCGATCCTGTGGTTGGCCTTTGGCTGTGCTGCTGCCTGCCTCCGTCCCCTCCCAGCAGCCGGCTCTGGCTGGGGTCCTGGTGCCCATCCCGGGGTGGGGTGAGGAAGGGAAGGGCCCGGACCCCTCCTGTGGGGGAGGGGACCAGCCCAGCCACGGGAATTCCTTGGCCCGAACCCTTCCCCCGCATCCAGGGAAAGAGCTCTCAACTTTTTATTTTTAATTTTTGTTTGAAATAAAGTCCTTAGTTAGCCATCTGTGTCATTTCTAGCTTGTGCTTTTTTCAGGGGTTTGGCGGGGGGGGGGGGTACGTGAGGAAGTGGGAGCAGATGCCTCGGTGTCCCTGGCGCAGAAGGCGCCACACAGAGCCAGGCAGAGAAGACTGTGCTTTCCCTGCCTTGTCCCGGTCAGCGCCTCCTCAACCCCAGGGAGGGCCTCCCCACTTCTGACTCTCCCTGTCAAGTGCACAATGTCTAGGTCACATACTGAGAGGAGCCTGAATGGGGATTAAACCACGAGCAGTTTTAATGGTCTGGTTTTCTCCCTCCCGTTTCCCCGCTGTTAGTATTATTATTACTACAAGAATAAAGGATTCCTGAGAGCCTGTCCGCTCCTCTCCCTTGGGCCCCCCCTCCAACAGGACTCGTCCCCATCAACCCCCGCTGGATTTCTGGGTTTAAAAAAAAAAAAAGTGAAAGGCACTGCAGGGATGAGGGGCTCAAGTGGCAGGGAATCTGCGGGGTGGGGCAGGGGCAGGGCCAGGCCCTTGAGGGTAGAGAAGCATCCTGAGGGCCCCAGTGGCCTAGGATAGTCCTCCTCCCGCGAAAGGTCCGCAGCAGGAGGATAATTAGTGTTGGGCTCAGACAGGAGGAACGGAGGGCCCGCTCTACTAGGACCCAAGGGCCAAGCCCAAGGGGACTGCAAATCACTATAATCCTCAAAAGCCTGTTGTGTTGGGGGGGCGGGCAGGGCTGGGGGTGAGGAGCCGAACAAAATGTGAATCAGAATGAAATGCCTCACCCAGGGACCAGACAGCGGCTGCGGCCCGGGCTCCCGGCAAAAAGGGAGGGGAGAGGGCCGGTCAGCCCAGCCCGGCCTAGTTGTCCCCGCTGCCCCCTTGCCGAGCCCTGATGAACGCCATGCCGTGCGTGCGGAAATGGGTCTTGAGGTTGAGGGGGCTGTCGCAACTCTTGCCACAGACCTTACAGGTCAGTGGGCCTCCGGACACGGGCAAGGGGGACTCTCCACCCTCTGGATCAGACCTCAGGGCGGGGGGGGCCTCTTCGTCCCCGTCGCCCAGGCCCAGGGCACTGGCGCTGCCCGCGGCCCGCTTCTTCTTGTGGCTGATGAAGCGGTGCCGGCTCAGGGAGCCCGGGGAGGCAAAGCACAAGCCACAGTCGAGGCACTGCTGGGCACCACCGTCCACCCTCAGCCCCACCAGGAGGCTCTGCTCCACTGAGCCACTGCTTCGGTAGCGCAGGGGGCCATGGCCTCCTGGGCTGGGCCCGCCCCTGGGGGACTTGGCTGGAGGCGTCGTGCTGTCAGGCTCCTCACTACAAGAGTCAGAGGACGGGCGGTGCTTCCGTCCTGGCCCCTGGAGAAAAGAGGAAGGGCAGTAGGCCTCCCGTCACTGCACACTGTCCCGGCCACCCCCGCCTACCTTCCTGGGGCCAGGACCGAGGATCCTGCTGTCTTCCAGGCCCCACGGCCCCGCCGCAGCAGGCTGGGCCTCTGCCTACCTGCGCTCTGGCACCGGGGCCCCGCGCCAGGGTGCTCCCTCGGCCAGGGGACTGGGCCCCGAGCGGCAAGCCGTGACGGACCTGGACGTGTTTCTCCAGGATCAGGCGGCTACTGAAGGTGCGTTTTCCCTCTGTGCAATACCTACAAGGGGAGAGTGCGCAACGTGGGCACCGGGGAACGGCCCCAAACCAGGGCTCTGACTAGAGGGGAGAGGGGCGGGCGTGGGGGGCTCCCAGAGCAGACATCAACCTTCAGGTCACTCGCGACAAGACGTAGGATGGAAGGTACTTAGCAGGGCTGGGGGTATGGGAGGGGAAGGGGACCAGGGGGCAAGCAGCCAGGGGTTACCTGCATGGGTAAACTCGCTTGATGCCCTCGTGATTGACCCTGACGTGGCGCCTCAGGCTGGGGGCGGAACAGAAGGAGCGCTCGCACAGGCGACAGGGGAACTTTTTCACTGACTGTGGAGAGTGGGCAGCCTCAGAGCCAGGCTCCAGGACGCCACAGCCACGGCCACACACACTGATCCCTGAGGAGGCACCCCGCTCACCTTGCCGTGCTCCTTCTTCATGTGAGCCACGTACTCATCTCGCTCAGGGAACCAGGAGTGACAGAGGCCGCAAGTCCAGCCCCCAGGGCCCGCACCCCCACCCTTGACACCTTTGCTCCCCAGTTCCCGCCGGGGCCGTTTGGTGGGGCGAGGGGGCGACGGGGAGCTGGGCAGTTCTTCCTCTTCTGAGGACGAAGATGATTCCTCAGTAGGCGCAGCTGCTCCTCCCCGAGACACAGCCAGCTCGTCGGGCTCAGCCTTGGGGGCAGTCGGGGCGCCCACGGCCCCCTTCCCAGCAGTGTCCTCCCCGGGGCGCCCGGACTGGTGGCTGTTCTGGGAGAGAGCGACAAGGGGGCAGCGTTGCAGGGGAGGGCCTGGCTTTGGCAGTGGCGCCCTTGGTCCCGGGCCCCAGGTCACCGCAGCTGAGCACCTCGCCTCGGGCCCCGAACCCCTGTACCTTGAGATGATCCAGCATGGTCCTTTTCTGGGCAAAAAGCAGAGGACAAGACGGGCACTTAAAGACGCTGACGCGTTGAGGCAGCAGGTGCTGGTCGAAGTGTGAGGAGAGGAGGGGTTTGTGAGTGAAGACCGTGTCACACATGGCGCACTTGTAGATCATCCTGTGTGGGCGGAGAGGACAGTGCAGACACCCTGCCCGTCAGGGCCCCGCCCCCGCTCCACCCGCCCCGCTCCCTCCCAGGTCTCACTTGGCCTGCTGCGAGTGGAAGCTGGGGTGCTGGGTGTACAGGTGGGCGTGGGCGCTGGGTGCAGACTTGAAGGCCATGGGGCAGATGGGGCACTTGTGGAAAACCTCGCAGTGCGACGTCTGGATGTGGGACTTGATGGAGTTCACACCCCCAAACACCACTGCACAGCTGGGGCACCTGGGAGGCACGGAGCATGGAGGTGAAGGGGGGTGTCCCCGGCCTGTCCCCCAGCCCTTTCACTCCCGGGAACCACTGGGCTCTGAAGGTCATGGGCAGAGAGCGTGCAGAAGGCAGGGACCCTGCTCCTTGAGGGAGGTGGCTGCGGAGGGCGGACCGGGGCACACTCTGCTCTGTGGGAGCAAGGCCAAGGCCGACAGATCCCGGACTGAGGGCTTCGGCAGGAAAGACGGGGGCTCCCTGAGAGGCCAGCTGGGCGGCCGGTGCTGGGACCCGTGAGGCCATGGAGTCCCGTGGCCGGAGCGCGGTGGCAGGGGGGCAGGGCGGAGGCACCTGTATCCCACGCGGCGGGACAAGTGCAAACAGGCATCTCGGAGGTGGGCCTGGAAGTTGGCCTGCAGGAAGTTGCCCCCACACTCGGGGCACACGTGGGGCGGCCGGTTCTTGTGCATGCGCTGGTGTGCGCTGAAGCTGCAGCGGTTGGGGAGCATCATGGGGCAGCTTGGGCACACCTGTCCCGGGGATGGAAATGAGGCCATGAGGAGTGGCCGGCACCCCCCTCGGCCTCCCCTGCACCCCCAGTACCCGCCCAGAGCCTAGTCTCCCCCTCTCCCTCCTCTGGGAGGGCCGCGAAAGGCCACTCACTGTGCTGTTGGCCCCGGGGCCGGGGGGCCCGAGCTGCTGGAAGTGGGCGGCCATGCCAGCCTTGTCGCGGCACTGCTCCTTACACTCCAGGCAGCGAAAGCACGTGTAGGCCGAGGTGGCAGGGGCGGCAGGGGGCTCGGAAGACAGTGGCAGCACGGGGGCCTCGGCCGCCACAGTGGTAATGGCTACGGCGATGGCCCCGTCGGCCTTGGCCAAGGCGGGCAAGGCCGGGGGTCCGAGGGCAGGCGGGACGGCCAATAGGGGCGTGATGTCCGGCTGCCCCACCATCTGGTCCAGGGCCACGGGCCTCATGACCAGGTGCGAGCACTGCATGACGAGTCCTTTGTCCTTGTGCTCCCGGGCATGTAGCAGCAGGCTGCACTTGTTGAAGAAGACCAGGCGGCGGGCACAGTGGTTGCAGGTGACCTCGATGCGCATGCTCCGGCGGTCGTAGTGCCGCGCAAGGCTCTTCTCCAGCGAGAAGGCGTCCCCACACTCCAGGCAGCGGTAGCCCGTCGGGGGCAGGGCCAGCCCGGCCTCAGCCGGCGGGCTCAGGTTGGGCCGGTAGGCAGGCAGCAGGTTCTTGCTGTTGAGGACCTTGTTGAAGGCCTCTACCAGGCTGGACTGAGTCCGTGAGATCACCGTGCCGCCCCCGGCCCCAGGCCCGGTGGCCGGCTTAGAGGGCTGCACCATCACCACCGAGGCACCGTTCACCTTCTGGCCCCCGGTCCCCAGGCCTGCCCGCCCCTCGGCCTTGGGCAGGGTTTGGGGCACCAGACCTAGCACGTTCTTAGCCATGGCCTTAGGGCTGGTGGCCGCAGCCCCGGGCAGCACCACGGCTTTGCGGGCCACGCTGGCCGCCATCAGCATGGCAGTGCTTGCGTTCTGGATGGTAGCCACGGGCAGCACGGTGCCTTTCAGCCTTGTGCCGTCGCCCAGCTGGACGCTCACTACCTTCGGCCCCTCGGGGGTCGAGGGTGCAGGGCACAGTTTCAGGAGGCCAGCCTCAGCCAGGAGGGTCCCCTCGGCCAAGGGGGTGGGGGGGTCGGGGTCTGATGGGACCCGGGTTACAGTCCTTGTAATGCTCCCACAGGACGTTTTAATAGTCTTGATCCGCACCTTGAGAGGCCTTGAGGAGCTGGCAGAGGCAGGAGAGTCGTTGCTGTCCTCGTCTGCGGCCTCAGCCCCACTGGAGGGGCTCTGGGGGCTTCCGGGGGAAGACTTGGCCACCGGCCCCTCCTCCTCTTCTTCCTTCAGGGGCTCGCAGCGCAGAACTCTGGGGGAGGCAGGAGGGCTCTGGGGCCCCGGAGACTGCTCGACCAAGGGTGCCCCAGCACCCTGAGCAGGTGGGGCACCGGCAGGAATGTCCGTGGCCTCGGGGCTAGAGCCAGAGCCCAGCCTGGCCAGGCCCTGAGGATGAAGGGGGCTGCGGCCGCCTCGCTTCAAGGCCCCCAGTGGTGGAGGAGAACCAGGTGACAGCAAGGCGGGGCCATTCTCCTGGGACAGCTCAAAGGGCGAGGAGAAAGGAGGCGGGCTCAGGGCCCCTTCCTGAGGTGGGGAGGGTGCCGAGGAAGGGAGGGGGTCAGGGTGCTCCCCTGGCTCAGGCCCAAAATGAGCAAAAAGGTCCAAAGGCGCTTTGCCTTCCATGGCTTTTTCTTTCCAGGTACCCCCACTGGGAGGAGCTGGAGAGTGGGGTGTACCTGGAAGGGATGACTCAGGGCCCCCAAAACCATTTTGCATCAGACGAGGCCCCACAGACCCTTCCTTAGTCATTCCCCCAGCCCGGGCCCCCTCCCCTCCTGAAGAACTTCCAGCTGGGGACTCGGGCTGCTCAGGACACACAGTGTTCTTGACAATGACACTGACCGCTGAGATGTCTGGCGGTGGCAGGTCATCGTCAGAGGCCTGGGCTGGGACTTCAGGGCCATCCCCGGCTGATGCCGCCACCACCTCTCCAGAGTCACCTCCTACACTGGGTTCCGGCTTCCCTGAGCCTCCAGGCCCCTCATTTTCCTCTGGCCCAGAGTGGATGGCTTCGTTTGCATCGATGTCGGGGATGTCAAAGGCAGCAAGGAGGTCGTCGAAATCAGGCGTCTTCATGTCCCCCATGGCAGCAGGTCCCAGACCTGGGGAAAAGAGAAAAAAGGAGAAACTGAGCCCTCCAGAGGCAGGAACCCTGGCCCTCCTCCCTGGAGCTCTCCATATTTATCCTCTCGGGGCCCGCGCACAAGATGACCTGGGGACACCTTGCTAATCCTAGAGCTGGCCGAGGCACCTGGTTTGGCAAACCCTAAAACTGAAAGGGAGGGAGCGTGCGCACTCCAGGGAAGACAGAGATCCAGAAACGCAGAAGAAAAGGCACTTCTCCGAAATACACCTGAGAGACAAGGGTCCTAGAGACGGAGCAGTTCAGTGAACATCTTGGTTGAAACTGCCTCAGCCCCTCCTGTGCCCTGCACAGAACCAACCAATACCACCATAAAGGAGGACGGTGTACACGGCGCTCTGGCTCATTCATGGCAGCAGGGTACCCATTCATAATTTCTCCACGGGTCCTCTGGGGGTCCACAGAGATATGAAAGGTCATGTGTACAAAGGGACAGTGACTTTGGCCAAGATGCAAGAAATGATTCTAGTTCCGGCTTTATCAACGGCCTGATGCCCACTGCCTTACTTTTGAAAAGGGGACCAAGTACTCCATACATTACAGGGTGATTCTCAGCACGACAGGAATCATAACCCTGAGAGTCAGACCCCAGAATAGGGTTTATCACTACAGCTGGGACAAACAAAGGCGTGTCTGGTCAAGGAGGAGATAGGGAGGACTAAGCACCCGGAATCCAGGGCTGGGGGTCAGAGACAAGAGTCAGGGGTTAAGTGTGGGGACGTGGGGTCATCACCGGCACCTGGAGACCTAGTCTGGTTAACAAGGAGAAGTGGACTCAGGGAAATCACCCAAGAGACCAAGACGGAAAGAATAAGACACAGGAACAGAAAGAGACAAAGAGAAGAGACTGAGGGGAAAACCATGACGGTGCCCTGGTCACAAGGGCCCCAGCCTAGGGCTCTCCTGCCACAAACACCTGCTGCTAGCTCACCTGCCTTCCCCAGAGTGCCTCTGCCCTCCCGTGGCCCTCCCTGCGCCAGCCCCTCCTCCCATCCACCCTTCCCAGATCTTGCTCCCTCAGGGCCAAACCTCCAGAGAAACTCACCCAGCGCAGCTGCCACAGAGGGGACAAGCGAAGCCCCCTCGCTCCTGTCATTTCTGCTCTGGGCTCCTAACTCATACTCCTCCCCTTTTCATTTTCCCTTGGCAACACCAGTCCAGGAAGTGTCGCCCAACCCCAACCTGGTCCGGTGTGTGTGCACGTGCGCATGCACACGCGCGCGCGTGCACACACACACACACACACACACACGCCTCATGTGGCACTAAACCAACAAGCAGGGCTTGTGGAGGATCCAGCTCTGTTCCTCCCCAGTTTCTCCCCGCAACTGTTTCCATATCTAGGAGGAAGAAACTGAAGAAGTCTCTGCCCTTACACATTCTCTGCCCGGGATGCAAGCATTTCCCAGGGCCAGTTCTCTCACCTCCTGCCGGCCTTTAGGCTGAGAAACCGGAGACAGTCCCAGCAGGTGGCAGCCAGCAACGCTGGGACGAAGGTAGGGTAAGAGGAAGAGGGTACCAACTAGAGAAAGAAAGGGAAGTTTCCCCCTCACTCCCGCCGACTGGATGTGCCGGTCTGTGGGTTCACACAAAGCCCTCCATCCCTCGCCTCTGCCCTGAGCGGGGGAACGGCAGCCCTCCGCTGCCTGGCTCTCTCCCCTGCGGGAGAAACCCGAGCCACCTTCCACCCCGGCCACCAGAAAAGCGGGCTGCCGAAGCACAGCTCAGTGGGACTATGAGAAAACATCTGCCCACTCGCCCTCCCCAAGCAACTCCCCCTTTGGCGTCCAAGTGACTTAGAGGTCATGCGATAGCCAGGAACGGACAGTCCACCAGGCAGCGGGAGCTCAAGGCCAAAGAGGCTCCCCCCACCCCAGCGCCGAGGCCTCTTCTGCGGCTGCTGTGCCCGGACTCTTGGGCTCCGGCCCTCCACCCCCGCCCCCCTTCCCTCTGTTCTTCCCCAAAAGCCAAAGGAAGGGGCTGAACAGGAAGAGGGTGAAGCGGTCCGGGTCGGGAGGGGGCTCCGCTGCCCTTTCCCTGGCCCGGGGCCTGCAGCGCAGAGGAGGGCGAGGGGCCGGCGGCCGGGGGCGATTAGGCTGCCGCCAAGCCGGGCAGCGAGTGGAATTAAGTCCCTGCCATCTGCCGAGGGCCGGCGCGGGGAGCGTGTCCGGGGCTGCGAGGAGGGGGCGGGGTGTAGAGAGGAGAAGCCGCAGGGGAAACTGAGGCGCACCGCGCTTCTCGCTCGCACCGGCGCGAGAAAGGGAAGAACGGGCCCCAGCCAGGCCAGGCCCCATGGGATCCGCGGTGCCGCACCTCCCGGCCCCGGACTTCACGCGAGTAGGGAAGGCGCGTGCAAAGAGAGGAGCGGGGAGGGCACGGTCTTTGCGTGACTCGCAGCTCTCCGAACGGGGTCCGTCCCAACTCCGACCTCCTCCCCCCGTCCCGCAGACTCCCGAGGATCCCTCGAGACGCGAGCGATCCGAAGGCGCGCGGCGGCCCGGGGCGCGAGCCTGAGTCCCGCCCGGGCCCGGACGCTGACCCGAGCCCAGTCGGGGTGCAGGCTCGGCTCCGGCCAGGCCCCGCTCCCCCGCCCCCGCCCCCGGACACGGACACCATTTTAGGTCGCGACATCCCGCAGCCTCCAGTCACCGGGCCGCGCTTCGGACGCCTCTTGGGCTCGGGGCGCCTGGACTTTGGGGACCCCAACCCTCCCTCCACGTTTACCCGGCAAGGGGGCTGTGCTTTCAACAGGCTGGGAGTTTCGTCCATCCGCCTAAAGGGATGGAGGCGACTGCGGGGCCTTCCTAGAAGCCGCCCCAGGGGGGCGGCGCGGAGAAGGGGGTAGTTGACCAAGTGGGGGAGGGGCGGGGGTATTTACCCGCCCCCCCCGGGGGCGGGGCCAAGGGCGGGTATTACCCCCGGTATGCTTACTTATTCCGCTCCAAGTGCGGGCCGAGACCCAGCGGTCTCTCCCCTGCTCCCGCCGCCACCGCCGCCGCCGCCGCCGCCGCCGCCGCCCTCCCCGCGGCCGCCGCTACTTCCTGCTTCTCTCCCGTTCAGCCTCCCCCTCCTTCAGCTCCCTCCGCGTTCCAGGTCTGGGCAGCCCGCTTCCGCACTCGCCATTGGCTCACACTCCCGTCGTTCAGCACTGCGCCCCTCCCGGCCCCGCACTGGGTTGGCCTTAAGTACTGCCGCTCGGAACTAGCCCCTCACAGTCCTCCCAGCCTCATTGGGCAAGGAGCCTAGTCCTTCTGAAGATGCCTCTCCCCATTGGTTGCGCCGGGCCCACCTGCCCCATCGGGGCATCTCAAAAATGACTGGCTTCTGCTACAGTCGCTTAGAAAGAAGCCAATCTGATCCCCTGCCTTCCCTCTGGAGGCGGTGACTATCCCAGGTGCGTCTCCGCCCCCTCACTCCCTATTGGCCACAATCCTTGAAGCCTGCAGTTCACTTATGCAAATTAAAAGAACTCTCAGCTTCTATTTGGTGGGTACTTTGAGGAGAACCTGGCTGACTCCGAACGAAGCCCGGATGCGTGGATCCGTTTGCTGTGCCTTCTCACGCTAAACCCCAGTGTCAGTCATGCCGTGCCGAAGTCACAAAATGGGACGTTACCCAAAACATTACGTCATCTGGTTGACCAGTTCCTTGCAGTCTTCCTACTGTCTAAATCGTCATATGACCTGCATGGATGGGGTTCTCGCGCGGGCCAGCTCCTGGGCGATGGCGTTACCCCTACCTTCTCCCTCTGCAGAAGCGCTTGCAGTGGGGGCGGGATTAGTTAAGAGTGTGGAAGGAACCTGCACCAGGAGCCCGGGACGGCTTTGCAGACCGGAAGTGGAGGAGAGGTGACGTTAGAGTGCTGGCGTGGCCTGAGCCATTCCGAAAGGGATCTTAAAGCGGCATGCTGGTAGGCTTCCTGAGCACGGGGACTGGATGGGACCGACCCTCGCTTCTATTTCCCATTTTAGGGCTCTCCTTTTCCCCGCCCCCGGCACGGGGTGGGGGTGGAGTCGAAGCCGGTTTTCCCGCGCTTTGTTGCCACGCCCCCGGAGGCGGGAGAAGGGGTGGGGATCCTCGGAAAATGAGTTGCCCACATATTCATAACACAGACGCAAGCCCCGCATGCCGCCTGGCGCGCCGCTGCCCAGCCCGCGGGCCTCCGCAGGCTGTCGGGTCCGCAGCAGCTCACCGCCGGGACCTGACTTTTAAACGTGGTTCTGGTACCCTGCGCAGGAGTCACTGGACCTCGGGACCTAGGACTCTCCGACGCGCGCGCCTTGAGGCTTTACATGGGTAATAGCGACCGTATTGAGATGCCAATCAGAGCCTCCGGGTGGAAATCTTCGCGCCACCACCGTGGAAATATGTGGTTCCCACCAGCAAACCGCTCGACCTCCCTGCACCGGTTTTCTCATGGATAAAACGGGGACTATAATACCCACCGACATGATTGTTTTTGTAAGGATTAAACGCGTTCAGAACATAAAAGTGCTTTGCAAAGCGACGGGCAAATGGAATTAGTGCTCCCCCGCCGGCCGCCTCCCTTGTGGAGGTTTGCCCGCAGTTACTCCAGCTCACGGGCTTCTTCCATTTCGGAACCACGAACTGGAGAAGCTCCTGGATGTGGCCAGACGGCACTCCATTCCCACCGATTCTTCCCGCGTGGAATAATAATTACTACTGATGCACACGTACTATGTGTGGGACCTATTATAAGAACTTTATATATATTAACTTACATAATCCTTACCGCAGCAGCGTGAGGGAGGTACTATTATTATCTCCATTTTACGGGGGAGGAAACTGCGGCACAGACAGGTTAAGTTAGGTCCCTTAGCCGAGGTCAAAGGCAGTGGAGTTGAAAGTCCTAAGGGTCTAGAAAGCTGAACACTTTCATAGATTCCCTTGCGGCGGGCTGTGAATAGAAGTTTGTTCTTCAATTAGACGCACTAGTCACTCACTTAAGAAATATTTTAACTCAGGGGCGCCTGGGTGGTTCAGTCCGTTAAGTGTCCGACTTCGGCTGAGGCCATGATCTCAGAGTTGGTGGGTTCCAACCCCACTTTGGGCTCTGTGCTGACAGCTCAGAGTCTGGAACCTGCCAGCCCAGAGCCTGCTTGGGATTCTCTGCCTCTCTCCTGCCTCTGCTCTGTCTCTGTCTCTCAAAAATGAATAAATGTTAAAAACATTTTTAATTAAAAAAACAAATATTTTTAATTATAAAAATGTTTAATGTTAATTTTTGAGAAAGAGACAGTGCTAGTAGCCAGGGAAGAGCAGAAAGAGAGAGAGGGAGACAGAGAATCCAAGACCGGCTCCAGGCTCCCGAGTTATCAGCACAGAGCCTGATGGAGGGCTCAAACCCATGAACTGTGAGATCATGACCTGAGCTGATGTTGTGCCTAACCGACTGAGTCCTCCAAGCACCCCAGAAATATTTTAATTCGACTAATGCTTGAGCATCATCTAGGAGTAAAATAATGTTGTAGGCACTGAGGATACAACAGTAAACAAAGCAGAAATCCCTGGCCTTCTGAAACGTACGGAGAAGACAAACAATAAATATGGTAAATAAGTAAGATAAATAGAAGCATGTTAGAGTCTATAACTGCCAGGAGAAAAATTAAGCAAGGCTATTAAGCCATGAAAAGAAATGCAAGAAGCTTAAATGCATATTCTAAGTAAAAGAAGTCACTGGAAAGTCTATATACTGTATGATTCCAACTCTGTGACATTCTGAAAAGGCAAAACTGAGGAAGCAGTAAAAAGATCAGGAATTGCCAGGTGTTCAGGTGGAGGAAGGAATGACTTGGTGGAACTCAGTGGATTTTTAGGTGGCGAAACTATTCTCTGTGATACTGTTATGGTGGGTCCATGACATCATATGTGTGTCAAAAGCCCTACTGTAAACTATGGACTTTAGTTAATATATCAATATTAGCTCATTAACTGTAACAAATGTACCACACTAATACAAGATGTTAGTGATTGGGAAAACTAGGGAGAAGGAAGTATAAGTAAACCTAAAACTGCTCTAAGAAATACTTTGTTAATCTTTCTTTAATGTAAAAAAGTAAAGCAGGAGGAGGGGGGCGCCTCGGTGGCTCGGTTGGCTAAGCATCTGACTCTTGATCTCAGCTCATCTTGATCTCAGGGTCATGAGATCAAGCCCCACGTTGGACTCTGCACTGGGTATGAAGCCTACGTAAAAAAAAAATAAAAGATAAATGAGGCAAGGAAGGTGGACAGGAAGTGTGGGGGGATTGCAATGGCCTTTCTGAGAAGGTGGCATTCAAGTAAAGGCTGAAAATTGGTGAGTGAGCCATGCAGCTACCTGCATAGCTGTGAGAACATTCCAGAAAGAGGGAACAAATACAAGATCTTGAGGTGGGAGCATGCTTCAGAGGCATAGGGGTGGGATGAGCGGGTCCAGGCCACCAGATGCTTTTGGAAAGACTTTGGTGTTGTCTCAGAGTGGGATGGGAAGGAAATAGGACACAGTGGCCTGACTTTTTAAAAGGGGTGAGCGTGCAGGGAAATGCAAATCAAAACCACAATAAGGTATCACCTTATGCTTGTCACAATGACTAAAATAAAACACACAAAAAACAAGTACGCAGATGTGGAGAAAAGGGAACCCTCATGCACTATTGGTGAGAATGCAGACTGGCACAGCTACTGTGGAAGACAGTGTGGAGATTCCTCAAAAAATTAGAACTACCCTATGAGCCAGTAATTGCACTACTGGGTATTTACCCAAAGAATACAAAAACACTAATTCAAAGGAATACATGTGCCCCTATGTTTATTGTAGCATTACTTACAATAACCTAATTATGGAAGCAACCTAAATATCCATTGATACATGAATGGGTAAAGATGGGAGGGAGATAGATAGATAGACAGATCATGGAATTACTCAGCCATATAAAAGAATGAAATCTTGTCATTTGCAACTACATGGATGCAACTAGAGAGTATAATGCTAACTGGGATACATCAGTCAGAGAAAGACAAATACCATATGATTTCACTCATGGAGAATTTAGGAAACAAAACAAAACAAAACAAGAAAAAAAAGGAGACAAGCCAAAAAACAGACTCTTAACTATAGAGAACAAACTGATGGTTACCAGGGGCGCCTGGGGGGCTCAGTCGGTTAAGCACCCAACTCTTGATCTTGGCTCAGGTCATGATCACACCGTTCGTAAGATTGAAACCCACATGGGGCTCTACACTTACAGCATGGAGCCTACTTGAGATTCTCTGTCTTTCCATCCTCTCTCTCTCAAAATAAGTAAATAAACTTTAAAAATAAAAACAACAACAACTGATGGTTACCAGAGGGAAGGTGGATGGGGGGATGGGTGAAATAGATGAAGAGGATTAAGAGTACACTTACCATGATGAGCAATGGAATTGGTGAACTATTATATTGTACACCTGAAACAAATATAACACTGTATGTTAATTACACTAGAATTAAAATTTTTTAAAGGAGAAAAATCTGTCTAAATAAATAAAACACCTTTAAAAACAAAGTTGGATGTGGGGTATGAGAAAAAGAAAGAAGGGTGCTTGGGTGGCTCAGTTGGCTAAGCATCTGACTTTGGCTCAGTTCATGATCTTGAGGTTTGTGAGTTTGAGCCCTGCATCGGGCTCTCTGCTGACAGCTCAGAGCCTGGAGCCTGCTTTGGATTCTGTCTCTCTCTCTCTCTCTCTCTCTCTGCCCCTCTCCCACTCATGTTCTGCCTCTCTCTCTCTCTCTCTCTCTCAAAAATAAGTATTTTTAAAAATTTTTAGAAAGAAAGAAAGAAAGAAAAAGAAACTCAAGACCTTGAGGCCTGAAGTAGTAGAATGATGTTGCCGTTTGTCTTCTATAACTTTTTTGTTAAAAAAAAAACAAAAAAAAACAAACACGCCTAACATGGGGCTTGAACTCAAACCCTGAGACTGAGTCACATAATGTACTGACTGAGCCAGCCAGGCACCCCTAATGTTCCATTTCTTGAGC